AGTGAAGATTCTGGTTTGTTCAAAATGTGGCCCCAGGGATTACGATGGGTCCCAATGGATCAAAGTTTTACATAAGAATATATATGAGGGAAAAAAATTCAAAATCTTCCTTTCACAAACCAAAGAGGCATGATTAGGAATTATAATTAGGTTGTGTAGATTCAAGTTCTTGAACCCAGGGTCAATAGAGTTTGGCCACAACAGAGAATCAAAGAAAAAATATTCTTCTAAAGAACATGGCCATGATTAGTCATATTAGTATGCAGACATATTCAGGCAGTGTAGATTCAAGTTTGCTCAAATCATGGCCCCTGGGGCTAAGGTGGGCCCAATGTTCTGAAGAAAAGCAGGGCCAAGGTAACTCAGGTGAGCTTTGTGGCCCATGGACCTCTTAGTAATCAGTATTAAAAGGCACAAAAGCATAGTGATGTGTAAGTCACAATGTGTGACAAATTAGTCTTCTTGGATGATGCAATTTAGGTTGTCCTGTTTGCCATGGGAGTTAACCAGGGAAGCCCCACCCCACCCCACTCACACCCCCTGAAAATGTTAATATGCAATCCCTAATTAATTTACCAATGTCTGAAAGCAATTACTAAGTAGTCATTTCTGCATGATGTCTCCTTTTCCTGTAAATTTTATCCAACATAAATGTATAATATAATATACATGTACATACCCTGGTACATAGTTTTCCCTTTTAGCAGCCAGCATGGCTGTGCATTGTTTGTGATAGATATACCATAATGTGTATCAAAATTGATTGTTAACCAACAAAACTCACAACAATTATTGTACTAATTGTATCATGGAAATTTTATAACCACATTATCTTATTTTTACTAGGCATGAGCATGTTGGATAGGGTGGTTATATAATTAACTTGAATTTGCAAGTTTGCATGATTGCATGTGCATGTAGATAGTTTTTTCCCTTCTTTTATAGTGTTTTGTTTGATTTTGTTTTGTTCAATTTTGTTTGTTTGTTTTTACATGTCTTAATTTTGCTAAGAACTTTCTTATGTATTTTAATCATGAAATTTTTAAAAGGTATATAGTTCACAAAACTAAATTATCTAAAAGGCTTTGGATGCATCATCACTTGAATATTTGAAAACAATGTAAGATAACTGAAAAAAAAGAAGAAAAAAAACTATAGCTGAAACTTACTTGCACTATTTGTAAAAGATTCCTATATTCTTATATCTTTACCCGTCATTTGGCCAGGGTCATTTAAAAGTTTCTGTATGATTTCTTTGCTAGTTCACAATGCATGTGCATATTTTGCTAGTAGTTGGTATCAGTCATCTCTTCTTGATATGATTTAAAAAAAAAAAAAAGATTTTTAAATCCCATTATGATTAAAGTAGGTTACTATGATTTATTTTTTTAAGCAGATATTTTTGTACAAGTATATGCTTTAAAATGATTTTCCATTTTGAATTCTATTTTAACTGATTTGCTTATTATGTAAATGTATTGGTAAGTAAACAAAAGAGCAAGCATATTAAGGTAGTTTATCTCATGGTAATGTTCCATAACTCTGCAGAAAAGAGGACAGATAAGTCTGCTGTGTCAGGGGCTATAAGGTTACACATCAGTGTGGAGATTAAAGGCGAGGAGAAAGTGGCACCTTACCATGTACAGTACACCTGTCTACATGAGGTAAGTGTAGGTCATTACCATGTACAGTACACCTGTCTACATGAATTAAGTGTAGTTTATTACCATGTACAGTTCACCTTTCTACATGAGGTAAGTGTAGTTCATTACGTACAGTTCACCTGTCTACATGAGGTAAATGTAGTTCATTACGTACAGTACACCTGTCTACATGAGGTAAGTGTAGTTCATTACCATGTACAGTACACCTGTCTACATGAGTTAAGTGTAGCTCATTAATATGTACTGTACATCTGTCTACATGAGGTAAGTGTAGTTTATTACCATGTACGGTACACCTGTCTACATGAGGTAAGTGTAGTTCATTACCATGTACAGTACACCTGTCTACATCAGGTAAGTGTAGGTCATTACCATGTACAGTACACCTGTCTACATGAGGTAAGTGTAGTTCATTACCATGTACAGTACATCTGTCTACATGATATAAGTTGAGCTCATTTCCTGTACAGTACACCTGTCTTCATGAGGTAAGTGTAGCTCATTAGCATGTATAGTACATTAGTCTACACAAGGTAAACTTCAGTATTCCCTGTGTATGTAAGGTAAGTGTAATCACTTTTTAGCTCACCTGAGCTGAAAGCTCAAGTGAGCTTTTCTGATCACCCGTCGTCCGTCTGTCCATCCGTCTGTAAACTTTTCACATTTTTGACTTCTTCTCAAGAACGACTGGGCCAATTTTAACCAAACTTGGTACAAAGCATCCTTGGGTGAAGGGAAGTTTAAATTTTAAAAATGAAGGGCCAAGTCCCCATCAAAGGGGAGATAATCAAGATAATACAAAAATTGGGTGGGGTCATTAAAAAATCTTCTTCTCAAGAACCACTGGGCCAGAAAGGCTGAAACTTATGTGGAAGCATCCTGGGGTAGTGTAGATTCTAAATTGTTCAAATCATGACCCCCGGGGCTAGGGTGGGGCCACAATAGGGAATCCAAGTTTTACATTGAAATATATAGTAAAAATTTTTAAAAATCTTCTTCTCAAGAACCACTGGGCCAGAAAGGCTGAAAATTATGTGGAAGCATCTTTGGGTAGTGTAGATTCTAAATTGTTCAAATCATGACCCCCGGGGGTAGGGCGGGGCCACAATAGGGAATCCAAGTTTTACATTGAAATATGTGGTAAAAATCTTTAAAATCTTCTTCTCAAGAACCACTGGGCCAGAAAGACTGAAACTTATGTGGAAGCATCCTTGGGTAGTGTAGATTCTAAATTGTTCAAATCATGACCCCCGGGGGTAGGGCGGGGCCACAATAGGGAATCCAAGTTTTACATTGAAATATGTGGTAAAAATCTTTAAAAATCTTCTCCTCAAGAACCACTGGGCCAGAAAGGCTGAAACTTATGTGGAAGCATCCTTGGGTAGTGTAGATTCTAAATTATTCAATTCATGACCCCTGGGGCTAGGGCGGGGCCACAATAGGGAATCTAAGTTTTACATTGAAATATATAGTAAAAATTTTTAAAAATCTACTTCTCAAGAACCACTGGGCCAGAGAAGCTGAAACTTATGTGGAAGCATTCTGGGGTAGTGTAGATTCTAAATTGTTCAAATCATGACCCCCGGGGGTAGTGCGGGGCCACAATAGGGAATCCAAGTTTTACACTGAAATATGCAGAAAAAAATCTTTTAAAATCTTGTTCTCAAGAACTACTGGGTCAGAAAGGCTGAAACTATGTGGAAGCATCCTGGGGTAGTGTAGATTCTAATTGTTCAAATCATGACCCCTGGGGATAGGGCAGGGCCACAATAAGTACTACGGGGGGGGGGGGGGGGGGGAGAAATCAGGTGAAAAACAGCAAGGCCAAAGTCACTCAGGTGAGCGCTGTGGCCCATGGGCCTCTTGTTTGTTTCTGGAATTCTTATTATATTTAAATAGTAAATAATTTATAAGTTTCAACTTCTTCTCTATATGAATGTATACAAAAAATTAAAAAATATTGAAAGTATTTCTTTATAGAAGCAGTTTCACCTAGGTCTTGATAGGTTAAACATGGATCTTCATTGTTTTTTCCAGAATTTGTTTCACTATTTGTGTGAGCAAACTGGAGGAGCTGTGAAACTTCCTGATGCCAAAGGAGTAAGTCTCACTCTCATATCTTAATTACAGTCTTGTATTCATAGTTCAACATGATTCTACATTTACACAAGAAAGTAAGATTGTGAAAAGTCAGTGAATTTAATAAAAAGGAAAGAGAAATTCTCAAGGTTTTGATATTCTGGAACTTAAAAGTACATACATGTATATTTTTCATAAAATATACATGTGATTGTAGTAAATTACCAAATTAAAGATGTTTTATTCTATTACCTTAATAGCAGGATGAAGCTTGGAAGGTTTACTTTGATGAACCTGCACAAGAGATAGTGGATGAGTTTGCAATGAGATATGGTATAGAGTCTATATACCAAGCTATGACGTAAGTACTTGTTCTTGTGTGGAAGGGGGGGGGGGGGGTTCGAGGCTTTCTATTTTTCTTTGTCTTAATAAGTGCACAATCATGTACTTAATTTAAATGAAATAAGAATAAACAGTTCCTATCCAAAGGTTGAGCTCCTCAAAAATCTATTATAGTTACATTTTGTCAAAAGGCCCACTCCCTGCAATTTCTTTAAAAGAATTAATCCGCAATTACTTTTTGAAAGATAGATAGTCACTTAGATCCAGGAATACATGTACAGAGTCATTGATTTAGTTAAATATTATGATAACTTAAAATAAAAATATTAAAGCTTTAATGATGCCAATGTAAACTTGAAAACTTTGAAAGTCCTAGCTAATACTAAATTTTCCTTTTCGTTTGTAGTACATATTGTATTTAAAAGTTCATTCCATTAGATAGTAAATAACTGCTTTAAAATGATGTGACTTTGAACATTCTAATCATCCTAAGTGATTTTCAATGTTACAGACATTTTTCCTGCCTATCCACAAAGTACATGTGTCCTGGGGTACCTGCAGTTATGAGCACACTACTTGCCAACATTAATGCCTTCTATGCACACACCACTGCCAGCACTGCTGTATCAGCCAGTGATAGATTTGCAGCATCTAATTTTGGAGTAAGTCAGAAGCAGTCTTTAATTGTTCCTAAGAAAGTGAAATTTAAGTCCATTATATATGCATCTTGGTGGATGTGGTTTGAACTTGTCCAAAAAGCTTGTGTTTTGGTCAAATGTTATGACATGTGCATTCAGAATATAATTGTTTTAATTTTTTATGCCCCACCATGAATATGGCTGGGGCATATAGTGTTTGTCATGTCCGTCTTCTGTCCTTCCATCCTTCTGTCCTTCCGTCACACTTTGCGTTTAGCTCTGTTCAAAGCTCAGTTTCAAATAAACTATCCAAGATATTTTTATTGAACTTCATATGCTGATAGATATTGATGAGAGCTATGCAACTGCATCAACATTTTTTGACCTTGACCTTTCCTTTGACCTTGACCTCACTTTTCTTAAATTGGTGTTTAGCTCAGTTTTAAAGATACCATTCAAGATAGTGTAATCAAACTTCATATGTTGATACATACTGATGTAAGCTATTCAACTGCATCAACATTTTTGACCTTGATCATTCTTTTTGACTGACCTCACTTTTCTTAAATTAGTGTTTAGCTCAGTTTTAATGAAACAATTCTAGATATTTTTAACAAACTTCATATGCTGATACATACTGATGAGAGCTATTCAATTACATCAATATTTTTTACCTTGACCTTTCCTTTGACCTTGACCTCACTTTTCTTAAATAAGTTTTTAGCCCAGATTTTAAAGATACCATTCAAGATAGAGTTATCAAACTTCATATGCTGATACATAATGATGAGAGCTATTCAACTGCATCAACATTTTTTTACCTTGACCATTCCTTTGACCTTGACCTCACTTTTCTTAAATTAGTGTCAAACTTCATATGCTGATACATACTGATGAGAGCTATTCAACTGCATCAATACTTTTTTGACCTTGACCTTTCCTTTGACCTTGACCTCATTTTTCTCAATTTCACGTTAAAATATTGCATTACTAATATACCCTCGGCGGGGCATTCATGTCCTATGGACATATTTCTAGTTTTAAAACAAATGTAGTCTTATTAATTATGATCCAGATTTATGGTGTACTGTAATTTTAATATCTTAGTTGACTTTTTGATGAAATAATGATTTTTTTTTTCAGAAAGAGAAATTTGTAAAGTTATTGGACCAACTTCACAATTCCTTGCGCATTGATCTCTCCATGTACAGAGTAGGTTTTCTGTTGTCTCTGCTTATCAATGTTGTTTCCCTTCATATTGATACATTGATAAAAACTTAGATTAATTCTGTCATAGTCAATCTCAAACTGCATTTGGGGGAGGGGGGTCTGTTGTTTAGCTGTTCTTGTGATTATTATGAATGTAAATGCAATTTTAAAAAAAACATGATGAAGGGTTGCAAATTGAAAGATTGGGAGAGAGGCTAGAAAAAAATTAGGAACCTTTAAATAGTATAGTCCAACTAAATGGTGCTCATTTTTAGTTCTATACAGAAATAGGTTATTGAAATATACCTTGGGCACATATGAATATTGATGTTCATATACAGTATTTAATACCTTTCTCCTTAGAATAACTTTCCAGCCTCAGACCGCGCTCGCCTACAAGACCTTAAGTCCACAGTAGATTTGCTGACCAGCATAACTTTCTTCAGGATGAAGGTAAGTCCATCAGGGCAGGATTTGTAGAGTTGTGTGTAGTTGTTCTTTAGATTGTGAAATGTTTTGCTTGTTTTGTGATGTGAAGTAATCCATCCCTTGGAATGATCTAGTTGTACGTGAAGTCACCTGCTTCGCATGCAAGTGTCCCCTTCTAAAAATTCTGTTAGTTTTCAATCAACTTCTTCATTCATGTTTTGTTGAATGAGGAAGTAATTAGGGAGATTATTTGTAGAAGAGTTCTGATAGTTAGTGTAGTAGGTAACAATGTTTTAATTTGTTTTAAAAGTAGAGTTATTTTTGGACCTTTCTAGGTAAAAATCAGGCTGTGGTTTTCAATTTCTAAAACATTCACATGCTATATTTAGATGAATAATTTTATAGTAATAATAATAAATTTTAATCACTTTAATTTTATTAACCATGTGGAAAATTTTAACTTGCATTTAGTTATTTCTGTAAGAAGCCTTCATGCAGACTTGTTTCTTTGAGAAGTTGAGCAAGCTCCTTTGAACAATATCTCAACTTCAGTTAACATATTGTATGACTTTAGAATTGACTTTACTGATCTGATTGTAGATTTGTGTGATAGATGATGAACAGGTAATGAATTAGGACAACTGTGTAGTTATTCTGGTCAGAAGTTTAAGGAAGTTATTAAATTTCTAAATTAGTTGGGGTGTAGGTAGACAATGGTGATCTAAAAAAAAAAATACCTAGTTAGGTAGCTAACATGTTATGGGAATTAACTATCATTAGACTAATTTAGTTGGAATAACAATGTTGGGCAATAAATTTATAAAAGGGTTCAATTTAAAAAAAAAAAAGAAAGGAGAGGAAAAAAATATTGCCCTTGGTCAATCATTTTTTTCTGTTAAAGAATAATTTCTCTAAATTAATAACCCGACTAACTTTGGAGTGTAATTCACTCTTTATTTAGATGTATATCTTTCAAAATTCTATTAAATTAATACATTAATTCATTGTTTGCTAACATGTAGAATATAATCATAGAGAATTACAAAAGAGGTATATTTCCCAGGTCTGTACCTCAGAACTAATAATTGCATTTCAAATGTATGAAATAAAAAATAAGGTCCTGTTGGAGCTTCTTTCAATATTAATTATCTAATATAAGTTTTTGATTGGTTCCTGTAAAATGTCAGATAACTGAGTTTGATTGGTGTAAAAGTTTGATTGGTGTAAAAAAAAAAAAAGTATATGTCTAATTTTGATTGGTCAGTGATATTTTATTGCTAACAGGTGTACAAGCAGGTAAGATGTGTTGAGACCATTTAAACCTAATTTATGACTATGCTTTTATATTTCTCTTTATATATATATACACAGATTTAACAATTGTTGATCTTCTCTCTTGGGCACTCTCTCTTGTATACTGGAATTTAAGTGACATTTTCTAAAATTCACCATCTTCAAAGTGACAGCACACCCTTTATTAATGAATTGTTTGTCTATAGGTGATAGCCTTAACTGATATTTGTTTAGTCTAGTTTAAAATTTAAAGACGTGAAAAAAAAAATTTGCTGAAAGTCTGAAACTCACTCTTTGACTTTCCATTTACACAGAATTTGTGCCTTTTATACTGAAAACACAAAAAATCTTCTGTTTGTTATGTATGTTAATTTTTTAAGAAAGTATTGCATTGAAGCAGAAAAAAATTGATGCAAATACGTTCATTGATAATTTTTTTTGTTCTAAATGTAATTAACATGATTAAAGCAGACTCCACTTTTATTGAGATCCCTATTCATAATAAGCTGTGTTGTTGAATATTGTGATTTGTGTTACAATCTGACAAACCAATGCGAACACCATTCACAGAAGTGTTCATGTTTCATAAATTTATATGATCATTGTTGTACATTTATTTATTCTTTTGGTTGTTGTTAAGGGTTAAAGAAAGTTTTTCTTATCAGCAGATGACTTTTTAAATTTTGAATCAACAAACAAAAGATGTACCATTTTCACTAAACTTATTATTTTTTTCTGATCTAAAATGGTTATTTAATGTTGAATATTCCTACTTATTGAGATATTCAAGTCTATGAAAGTTACAGACAGCTAGAATGCATGGAATGACTTTAATTTATTTTTTTTTTTAGTATTTTTACCATGATCATGAATATTCCATGCAAAGTCATGCATAGCTATGTATATAAGATCTGATTGATTTTTTTTTCTTTCTCCCATTTCATTTTTTTTATAATTATATATATTCTGGATTGCATATACCATTTAAAAAAAAACTTCTTACCTATAATGATAATGAATATAACTTAAAAAATAAAAAATAAATTCTCCTAATGTGAACACATAGTCTACACATATCTTATACCAGTTAAGCCAAGACATTACAGAAAAACTTGACAAGTAAGAAAAAATGCATCCACTAATTGAAATTGGATTCACAAAAAAAATATTGGATGACAAGATTTTGAATTGCATGTTTTGTGGATATATTTGTTAAATTGAATTAGATTACTAAATACATTATCAGTTTATCAAACTATAGGTTTTCCTTTGGTAGTTTTGAACCTTAAATTTTCTTAACTTCTCAATTGTTAACCATTGTAGGTCCAAGAATTGCCGAGCCCTCCAAGAGCGAGTATTGTAGTCAAAGACTGTGTCATAGCATGTATAAAATCCACATACCAATTCTTGTTTGATCACTGTTATGAACTATACCAGAGGGAGTTTGTACAAGCAGAACCCTCAGAACAGAACATTCCAGGCTCAGAGGAGGCTAATGAGAACAGCCTAGATTTCTGGGATAAACTCATTGCTTTAATTGTGTCTGTGATAGAAGAGGATAAGAACAGCTATACTCCAGTATTAAATCAGTAAGTTATATTCAGTATTAAGTCAGTAAGTTATATTCAGTATTAAATCAGTAAGTTATATTCAATATTAAATCAGTAAGTTATATTCAGTATTAAATCAGTAAGTTATATTCAATATTAAATCAGTAAGTTATATTCAATATTAAATCAGTAAGTTATATTCAGTATTAAATCAGTAAGTTATATTCAGTATTAAGTCAGTAAGTTATATTCAGTATTAAGTCAGTAAGTTATGCTCCAGTATAAAATCAGTGAGATACTCTGGTATTAAATCAGTGAGTTATATTCAGTAATAAATCAGTGAGTTATATTCAATATTAAATCAGTAAGTTATATTCAGTATTAAATCAGTAAGTTATATTCAGTATTAAGTCAGTAAGTTATATTTAGTATTAAATCGGTAAGTTATGCTCCAGTATAAAATCAGTGAGATACTCTGGTATTAAATCAGTAAGTTATATTCAGTATAAAATCAGTAATTTATATTCAGTATTAAATCAGTAAGTTATATTCAGTATTAAATCAGTAAGTTATATTCAGTATAAAATCAGTAAGTTATATTCAGTATTAAATCAGTAAGTTATATTCAGTATAAAATCAGTAAGTTATATTCAGTATTAAATCAATAAGTTATATTCAGTATTAAATCAGTAAGTTATATTCAGTATAAAATCAGTAAGTTATATTCAGTATTAAGTCAGTAAGATATGCACCAGTACAAAGTCAGTAAATCACTCCAGTGATAAATCAGAAAGATATGTTCCAGTATTAAATGAATAAGTTATACCCCAGTATTAAATCAGAAAGATTTACACCAGCATTAAATCAGAAAGTTATACTCCATCATTAAATCAATAAGTTATACTAAAGTATCAAATCAGTTCTACCATAGTATTTAATCAGTAATTATATACTTAGAACTCAGTACAAATCATTGATGAATTGGGAGTCGTTTGTAATCATCTAACATAAGTCTAATGATCTGCAAATTTCAGATTATCTATATCAATTAGTCTGCAAATGAAAACATAATATAAGGCATTTGAAGTATCACAAGTGTATTATATTTTAACCACCATGATAAATTTCCATGTACAGAATTATGTAGCATGTCACATTTTCAGTAATAGGAATACATGTAAATGTACCCCAGTAATAAAATTGAATTTTAACTATTCATGTACTTGTACCTATAGAGAGTTCCAAAAATTCAGAAACACAGTCATTTGATTTAGATTCTTTTTAATTGATTTTTGCTGTTAGGTAACTTTTAATCAAGTTTCTTTATGCAATTCAAATTGTAAAAGCTTTTTTATATTTATTTTTTTTTTCAATTTGCTAATGCATTTACCACCTCTCTTTGATGGATTAGAAAAGCAATACAAAATAGATATGAAATTGCATGTGTGATCTTAAATGAGGTGTAAATTCCATCAAGAAAATTTAACCTGATGTTTCCTCTGTTTTTCTTTTATTACCATGATATTTCCTCGGTTTTTGAACAGATTCCCCCAGGAGTTAAATGTAGGACAAGTCAGTGCTGCCAATATGTGGGCTCTGTTTTCACAGCACTGCAGTATGTTCCTGAAAGGTAATACAGTCTTGTATTAATGACAGTATAAATACGCTCCATTGTAGATTAATGACAGTATACAGTTAAACCTTGTTATCTGGAACTGGAAGGGACAAAGTTTTGTCAGACCAGATATATGTACCTTTAATATTTTATACAGAAAGGAAAATAAATAATTGCACCAAAATTCCCTTTATTGTTTTCACCAGTAGTTATCTTTCCTTATAGATAGTCTTTAATCAGAGACATATATAAGATGTTTTAAGCCTCTACTTTAACAAATCTGATCAACCACCATCACTGCCATCTATGTAGTTTTTGTGACCTTCACATGTGCATCCTGATCTTTTCAAAATTTGCATCCCTCCAAATTTTTCAAAACAGTCATTTGGTGTGACATTTTCAAATAAGTTATCAGTCCAGACAATTTTTTACTGGCCTTGCCGACAGGACTGATGGTTTTCGACAACTCTGAGTCTGCTTGTTTTCAATTGTTGTTTGCTCCAAAGATAACACAAATACCTGTATATTAATATGTATAATTACTGAAGAATTGATTGGATGTGATCCATCAGTATTGTTAGAAGGTATATCTTCTTTCATTTATGTCTGTTTTGTTTAAAATGAGATTGAGATTAAAGTTAAAACCAGAATAATCAGATGTTTCCGCTTTCTTTTTCAGATCAAGAACAGGAAAAACCATGTAAAAGTTCGGAGTATATGAATTTACACTTTAAGATAAAATGGCTGTATTCCAAGTTTATAGCTGAAGTGCCTCAGTATAAAGGGACTGTCCCGGAGTATCCAAGGTGGGTAGAATCAAACAAAGGCCATACATTCAAAACAGTATTTTATGTAAATGTGAATTCTGTTCTAGTCTTAAGCATTAATTTAAGAAAATTTCACTATAAGATTGGTTCTTTGATTATAGATGGTTTGAGCCTTATGTAATGCAGTGGTTAAATGAAAATGATGAGGTGTCCATGGAATTTTTACGTGGTGCTTATGAAAGAGATAAAAAGGATGGGGTAATGGTTTTAGAAATTTTTTACTTTGTTATGAGGTCCTGGTATAATATAATTTTGATATACAGGTTACAGAAAGTTTGCAAGTTACTTTGCAAATTATGTATCAAAAAAATTTCAAATGAAGACTTAACTTACTTAAAAATTGAAACTGCATGTTTTCAATATAATTGTAACAACATATGCTTCAAAGATTAAAAGCCCCATTGGTCCGTATCCAAATTCAATACATTTCAATGATATAATTTAGTGGTATAATGAAATACCTCAATGGTATAATAGTATACTTCAATGATAAAGCCTTTATGGTATAATATACATTATGTTTCAACATGACTAATGTTCCTGCTGTTTTTATTTTGACAGTTTCAGAAGAGCTCTGAGCACTATCTTTTCTCCAGTTCTGTGGTAGACATATTTACTCAGTTAAACCAATGTATAGAAGTAATTAAGAAGTTAGAATGTCCAGATCCAGAGATAGTTAAAAGATACATGAGGAGATTTGCTATTGTAAGTTCATTAAACTTCTCATGATTTCATATGTTACATTGATAAAATATATTGAAAATTTTTGTAGCAATATGGCCTAGGCCAGGGTCATGTATTCATTAGCATATTTTGCTGAGATAATTAAAGAAAAATCATAATTTTTGTATGGGTTCCTTTCAATTAATGCCTATTGATGTACACTTCATTGTTATAATTATGTTAACTTTAACATATACTTTTTCATTATTTTTCAGACTGTTAATAAGGTGCTGATAGCTTATGCTGATGTTGTAAAACAAGACTTTGAGAAGTACACAAATGATCATAAGAAAGTAAGTATCGGTCATAATTTGTATCAAAATTTGTTCCTGGTTTAAAAAATTAATATTAATGAAAGAAAAAAAGCCTTACTAAATACGGGCCTCAAATCTAAACTGTAAATTTAAATTTTACATAGGCACTTCATTCATTTATTCACAGCTGATTTTTCTTTTATAGGCTTGTATTTTAATGAATAACATTCAACAGTTACGTGTTCAGCTAGAAAATTTGTTTGAATCTATGGGTGGTGAAAAGGTTTGTTGAAAACTTTTAATTTCTCTCAATTTTAATCTTTTTTTATTTCATCAAAAATTCTTATTTCTTGCGAAGTATAATTCTACTAAAGGTAATGTTTCAACACAATAAAATATTTGAGATTACTTCCCATCAAGTCATGATCTAAGAGAATATCCTTATGCTATAACTACAAGTTGCAATAATCAATAGAATTTATTAGATGTTAATAGTATCTTCTTAATGTCTTATGAATAACCTATCTTGTTGTAACAATTAAATGTTTATTCCTTTACAGCTCGATTCTGATACTTCCAGTATTTTAAAAGAACTTCAGAGTAAACTAAATAGTGTTCTTGATCACCTAAGTTCTGTATTTGCCAAGAGCTTGGAACCTCAGATCAAACAGAGTACACAGGAATTAGGTTTACTCTTATCTAAAGTCAAAGGGGCTGGGCAGGTCTCCTTGTCCCAGCCCAGTCAGAGAAACAGCATACAGCAGGAATCAGAGTTGGTGCTTAAACCTTTAATGGAGCTCATCGATGGCAGGTTTGTGTTGTTCTCATTTAATTCAGCTGAACAAGTACTTATTTGTAAAGAATTATGATAGTAATCCTGGAATATTTCAGAAAAGCAGCATTTATTGTGTGCATATTTCTATAAGTCCTTATGGAGTTCTTTGTATACTAACAAAGTAACAAATTGTTTCCCTTGATTCTGGAATGATTGACATGTTTCCAGAATCCTTTAGACATCCTTCAACTTCTTTAAATATGTGATATGATTTCTAAACATTATGCATGATTATTAACAGCTTGACAATGTTTGCACAAGAGTGTGAGAAAACTGTTCTGAAGCGTCTGCTGAAGGTAAATGAATGCTGCATGATTAATGCTAATACGATGAATTCTTTTTCAATTTGCAAAAATCAATGTAAAAGATAGTGTATTTTATCCTTTAAACAAGGCAAATTTATTTATTTTAAAAGATATATCTTGTACTGGTCATTCTTAAAACAGCTTTTCTGTGGCTGGATAATGGCATGTGCTGTTCCTGAATTGCAAAATTCTATTCCTCTCGTTATACTTTTATTCTGCATTATTTATTAAGTTAGGCATATGGGGGGAAAGGACATAGTACATTAAATGACCTTGCTTAAATGTCTGACCTTGACCTTTGTAGGAGTTGTGGAGGATAGTGATGTACACTATGGAGAAAACAGTGGTACTGCCCCCACTCTCTGACCCTAGACAGGTAAGCATTAAGAAATGCCTTAATTGGTAAAGGATATTAATGTTTACAGATTTTCTTACATGAAATTCTTTTGATGATAGATATATTCCTTATTCGATATCGATACTGTAACACAAAATTAACCATTTGACATAATTTGTATTTTTAGATGGTGAATTTTGATTTTTAATTTTTTAGAGCTAATATTGCAAGAAAACTTTTGAATCTTACCACGAAATTTGTACTTTAGTGTTCATGGTGAATATATATTTCTGAAAAATAAAAGTGCCAATCATATAGTTTATTAGACTGTTACAGTCGTTGTACTGTCCTAGAATTGTTAGTCAGCCAGTGTATGTTTTTTAATTAATATAAAAAATATTTATATAAATGTTTGAAAGGATTTTTATAAGTGCACATTATCATTGAATAGAGGGGATGGGGGGCTTTTGTTTCAATAAAACAAAAGTTATCCAAAGGGGATAGAATGCCAGCTAGTGGAAAAGAAATTGGCAAAAGTATTAAGATGGAGTAATGGGTCAAATAAGGGGCTTTCCCTTGGGTAATTTTTACTGGAATAGCCTTAAATTAAATTATAGATCAATTAATTCTCAATACCACTTATTCTCAACCACTCCATAAATCTTTGTTTATCAATTGAAAACAAAATTTTACATGTGACATATCATTTGAAGTAAATATATACACTATTTTAGGATAAAGAGAAAGATCAAGTGAGGGTTCATTTCATACAAATATTGACGCTAATTTTTTGTTTTCATTTCCTTTACTGCTGATGCAAATTCATACATCTAATGACTCATGTTATGACATAACTTTCCTGGTATGAATTTGTATTAATGAAATGCTGCTTTTATTTTCTAAAGGGAAAGGACAAAAAGGTGATGGATGTTTCATTTTGCCAACAATTGAACGATAAAATGTCATCATCCTAGCATAAAAATCATATAGTAATATTAACCACACATCACAAGAGATTAGTCCTTTACTGTCTTCCTTATATACATTATGGATTGGGATTTTCCTAACTGGGACAAGTTCAACAATAAAAATGAGAGAGAAAAAAATCTTTTTTTTCAACTGGAACTTTTCCATTTTTTCTTGAATGTGAATGATCAATCTGGTTTTTTTTTTAACCTGGAAAGTAGATAGTCAGTGAACTTGTTGCAGAAAAATGGCATTTTCTCACATGATAAGGTTGCTCAAAGGCCATATGGACCATATATATTTTTAAATCTTTAAATATAAATGGCCATTGAACAACTTTAGCCAAACTATATTTTATTATAATCCCTATTAGACCATCTTGAACTGGAGGGTATAGAGATAACATATTTGTAAGGACTGTGATACTCTGTTGGTGTATGTCTTTTTCTTAATGTTCACATATATTTTTCCAGTTCTTGTCTCTGACTGGAAAGGGGGTCATGTTAAATGAAAAGACAACATTTTTGTCCAAAATTCGAACTGTAAGTTGAGAAGACATTGTGGGCTTGTTATGATGGCCAAGTTGGACTGTGTTTTAGGTTGTCATTGATGTGTATCCCCCTGCTAGGTTGTGTCATGTCCACTGTGTATTATTACCTCTGTGTACCCCTTACACAAGGCAGTTGTATTTTAACTAGTTTTGAGATTTCCAAGGATCTTGTTACTAAATGAGGGAATGTTCATATTGAAATTTTAGATCTAGCTTTGATCTAGGTTTTTTATTTGTTCACATCTTAAAAATATCAGCATTGAATTCCAAAAGATTTTAAATAGAACTTTTAATAACATGGAAATTTCAAACCTATATGTGAGCTAGGTTTCTTTTTCTAAAACTCTCTCCATTTCATGCAGTTTTTGTCATCTCTTCACTGTTTTGATTTGATTCAAGCTTAAGACTAACCTTGATTTCAGCTTATTCCCCTCCCCGGTGCTGCTCAAACTAAAATCGAGGATGTGTCTCGACTTTTTCTCAGTCACGTCAGCCAAATGCCCATGAATGTTCCTATGATCCAGGTGACTCCTGCATTCTGGTTGCATGTTCAGTGTCGGCTTGGTGTGTTCAAGATATAGATGTTGTAGATATTTACATAGACAATGTTGTGTAGTTGATATTCAGTTGCAGATTGGTGTTGATTCTACTTGTACTTGTATTACCAGCTTTTGTAGTTGATGCATTCTTTATTGTCATAGAGTGGAAATCATTGATGTTGTGCTTTTTCAAAATTTTCGCATCTGTATGTGTATAAATTGATGCCCACTTTTAAATTTAAACACTGCAATGTCACGATCTCTGTTCGTTATCTTCACCCTTTTTCATTTTATATGTTGTGGATATACATGTAGTAGTTGTTTTAAGTTTCTTTGTTAACGGTTTATTATTTAAAATCTTCAGATTAGAAACTGCTGAAGTTCATTCCAAAAAAAATCTGCATTAAAAGGAAATACATGTGCCATATATATATGCCAAGAGAAATTTTTCAGTTTGTTACACTGAAGTGTAATTGGCTGTGAGATATGGTTCAAAATGGACTCTGCTAGAATCTGAATTCACATTTGTTCCCCTATAATATGCATGTTATTTTTCTATCACTGCCTTTTAACTGTACACATATCTTACATCTAATAACTTCCTGCAGTTTGATTAAATGAGTCTGAGAATGGCATCATAGATTTTATCAAACAGCTTGAATTAGTAGACAAACTTAATTAGTTTATTATACCCCTGCTCCGAAGGAGAGGGGGGTATACTGTTTTACCCTTGTGTGTCTGTCTGTCTGTCCGTCCGTCTGTGTGTCTGTCTGTCTGTAACAAATTTTGGTCGCAGTTTTCTCAGCAACTACTCATTGCAGATGCTTGAAATTTTAGCACAATCTTTGTTTAGGCATGCCATATGGTGGGATTCATTTTTGTACGTATCCGATGTCAACTTCCTGTTTATCAGTGCGTCTGTCCGTACCATACATAAAAAATTTTGGTCGTACTTTTCTCAGCAACTACTCATCGCAGATGCTTGAAATTTTAGCACAATCTTTGTTTAGGCATGCCATATGTTGGGATTCATTTTTGTCCTAATCTGATGTCAACTTCCTGTTTATCCGTGCGTCCGTCCGTACAACACATAACAAACTTTGGTCGCAGTTTTCTCAGCAACTACTCATCACAGGTGCTTGAAATTTTAACACACTCTTTGTTTAGGCATGCCATATGGTGGGATTCATTTTTGTACGAATCCGATGTCAACTTCCTGTTTATCCGTGCGTCCGTCCGTACCATACATAACATATTTTAGTTGTAGTTTTCTCAACAACTACTCATTGCAGATGCTTGAAATTTTAACACAGTCTTTGTTTAGGCATGCCATATAATGGGATTCATTTTTGGAACAAATCTGATGTCAACTTCCTGTTTATCCCTGCATCTGTCCGACACATACATAGCAAATTTTGGTCCTAGTTTTCTCAGCAACTACTTATCGCAGATGCTTGAAATTTTAGCACAATCTTTGTTTAGGCATGCCATATGTTGGGATTCAGTTTTTACAAATCCGATGTCAATTTCCTAATTATCACTGTCTTTGTCTATAACCGAACTTGTGTATTCACATCAGAGCGGGGGTATTATTAGTGAGCATTGGCTCACAGACTTCTTGTTATTTCTGAAATATCAATTGGTTTTTGTTCAATATTGACTCATAAAATATCATATCATAAAATACCCCAGTATACAGTATATACAGTGAAACCTGTCATATCTGACATGCACTGGGAGATATATTTTGTTTCGGAATAGACAGGGTGTTGGATTACACAGCATGAAGAACATGGAAAATAGTCAAAGGGAATGAAAATAATAGTTGGAATTCACAGTGAAATGGATTGCACTAATGTCGGATTAGACAGTTTTCACTGTAATTGAATGCAATGGGTGATAGTTTCCTACAAAAGATCCTTCACCCTTTGTATCATTTTTGGTACAATTAGTACTTTTTAAAAATTCTGAATTTAATTCAATATTTTTTGATTATATTCCTTTTATAGAATATTTACACCATCTGAAATCTTTATATTCAATTATATTGTTTCAACTTTTTGTGAAACGCTTCTAATTATAAGAGATTACAACAAATGACATCTTAATTCATCAGTAATTGTTAAAGTTCAGTTGTTCAAGATTAAAAAGATATTTATGCCTTATAGTTGTAGTACATGTATAGTAAATTTGATAGAGAGTTTGGGTTGGGTTTACCTGTAGGACATGTCAAAGGAGGCTGAGAAGAACCTCACCCCCAAACAGTGTGCAGTGTTGGACATGGCTTTGGATCACATCAAACAGTTCTTCCACGCCCAGGGCCAAGGGCTCAAGAAGACCTTCCTGGACAAAAGCCAGGAGCTCCAGAGTTTACGCTATGCCTTATCACTGTACACACAGACTACAGACACACTTATCAAGACATTTGTCAGCACACAGACGTCACAGGACCAGCCCTCATTGGAGGATACGGTGGGGGAGGTATCCATACAGGTGGATCTTTTCACACACCCTGGGACAGGGGAACATAAAGTGACCACAAAGGGTATGGAAGTTCCTCTATGTATGAGTATCCATGCATGCATACATGAATGCCTGCTATATGCCCACTTTTGTATTTATGAAAGTTTTTAGTTTAAAATAATATTTTGGATTTTTTTTTAAGAGTCAGCTACTTTTCATATCTAAGATACATGGTTTATTTTAAAAACAGCTTGGAATAATTCAAAAAAAAATTTCTTCAGAATAAAAAAAACATCGGTAATTAACCATAGTAATGGCATAAAAAAATTTTTATTTTTATTTTTAGTTGTGGCAGCCAATAACCTGAAGTGGCAAACGTCAGGCATGTTTCGTCCATTTGTGGAGGTCAATCTAATTGGTCCACATCTGAGTGATAAACGAAGAAAACATTCCACAAAATCAAAGAGCAACAACTGGTCACCAAAGTTCAATGAAACTTTCCACTTGTAAGAGAGTCTACTTGTTTTTATTTTTACTGAATATCAGTCAATCATGTGTATACTTTTATGTTAAAAGAAGGAAAAAACATGTCTCAACTTTCTAAATTTACATTTACAAAATTTCAAAATTGTTTGGAGAATCTGATAACTTTGGAGGCTTATGTGACAGCAAATTTCTATTTGACATGTTTATTTATTGCAGCATTCTTGGGAATGAAGATGAACCTGATGCATATGAACAACACATTTGTGTGAAAGACTACTGTTTTGCTCGTGAGGATAAACTGATTGGAGTTGCTGTGTTGCAGTTACGAGACATTGTAGAGAAAGGCAGCTGTGCATGCTGGTGCCATCTGGGAAGAAGGGTGCATTTAGACGAAACAGGATGGACAATTTTACGCATTCTCTCACAGAGAACTAATGACGAAGTTGCCAAAGAATTCGTCAAGTTAAAGTCCGAGTCTCGTTCGGCAGAAGATGTGTCATGAGACGAATTAAAGAAAAAATTAGAAATTGCTAATTAATTTTTTTTTTTGAAGAGAATATTACTGCCAGTTTGTGTTTTTTTAACATCAATGTCCATCGATTGCTCTGTTACCCATGTTACTATGGGATGTTGATTATTTTGGTGATAGTTGTTATTTAATTGATCGAAAGCTAATTCTTTGCAGCATATTTCCAGCTTGAAATGTAAAAGTTTGTAAATGTTTCTTGTAAATTTGAAACTTTGAAAACTATTAAGACATGTTACACATGTTTGTGAGTGAATTCTTGCAGAGAAGCTCTGCAAAAAATATGACAAAAAGATTGCAATTATATTGCAAGTATGTTAAATAAAATAGATGCATCATGAATTATCAATATTCAAGGAATTTTAAAAGAGAAATACATGTGGGACAGTAGATCTGAGTTGCTTATGGTTGCTTCAGCTAATTTTATTAGATAGTTCATGATATTTATTAAATTTGATACAATTTGGAGAATCCCTCCCCTCCCATTTATATATATTTACACGCATTAGAAATCCTCCTTTGCTGCAGAAATCCAAATGCTATATGTGATACCTGTGTTATACAAACCATGATATTGTTTTATAGGGACTGAGTGCAATTTTAATTTCTTACTAAACCCATTCAAATTCATTTACAAAACCAAAATGACCAGTTAGTGTTGCCATTTTCATTCATTCTGGTTGTGTAATTACTTGATAATTAGCTGACACCTACCAACACATGACTTTCATGACCATTTTTGATAGAATTTGTCTTCCATGGATCGTGACTTCATACACCATACTTTAGACTTCACATGAGTTGAATGTAAGGATGTCATTTTTCATTGCTTTTTTTTAATTACTTGATTTAGCTTGTTACTGATATTTATTTTTTTTTTTTCCCTCGTTCTACTTTACATTTAGAACAGCCATTGTTCAATTGTAATTTGTTTACATTCCAGTCAAAACGGATAAATCCATGATACCTGCTTATGTAATGATTTCAAACATCTTTTGCTCAAAATCGGATCTTCCCGTAGTGATATATCTCTTAATTAAAGTACATCACATAGCCGATTCATAGATGTTGGAAAATATATAAAAATATGTGACGGTATAACCATTCTCTATATGCCGTACTTGGTACATGCATGTGCATTTTACATTATTCAAAGATTTTTGTGTTGAAACACTTTTCAGATACAAATGGAATATACATGTAGGTTAAAAAAAACTGTGCGTAGTTATTTTGTATGGGATACCGGTTGTTAACCTCATTCTTAAATTTACCGCCATGCTTGTTTTTGTTGGCATCTTCATTTAGTACCTCCCTGTAATCTAGTCAGTAATCAATATAAATGGATTGTTGGATATTACTTTAACCTCTGTCAAATTCTTAAAGTCAATCACTTTAACCTCAGATTTACATGTAATTCTCTCTACTTAATTCTTGACGACATATTCTTTTTAAAAAAATGTTTTTTCTTTCCAAATTATTTTTTTCAGTGCTGTGTTAAACTATTGTACTGAATTTTTTTTTTAATAGATATATTTTTTTTACATTCTGTCCAGAGAACTGTGTATCATGATAAATTTTCATACAGGTAGGATTTTTTTATATTCACAACAAGTTTGCTATTGGAAGGAATGCTTGATTTCTGTAATTGTTGCCGTCTTTGAAAATGTTCAAACTATTTTTGTTTTCTGGTGTGTTTATTAAATATATGTGGTCAGAATTTACCATTTGTTGCATTGCATTTTAATTCCATTTATACTGAAAACATTCCATTGTTATTGTTACATTACACGTGAAAAATCAATATTACATTCAGTTTGTCTAAGAAAGTTTTAAGCAGTTTTGAATAAATACCACACTCAAAAAAAAAATCAGTATATACATACATACATACATACATACATACATACATACATATATATATATATATATATATATATATATATATATATATATATATATATATATATATATATATATATATATATATATATAATCATTTTAAAGCAGCTGCACTTGTAGAAGGCATAATTTTACTCCTTGTTTAAAAAGTATCAAAACATGGGGAAAGAATATGTGAAACATCATTTCTAATTCTAAGGTAAATATCATTACACGGATATATGTAGATTTGGCAACCAGGATAGATTTTCACCAGTTTGATGATTTAAGTTTGTAATTTTAATGATGTCTTCTGATAGATTGAATTTTTCAGTATTAGGTGTAATTTTTGTTTTGTTTTTTGAAGTTCTCATCTAGATCTGAAAAACTGTCCGTGTTAATTTTTTTAATACATTATAAGAATCTAGATTTTGTTATTTTAAAAATTATATCTATACTTGTTACTCATTTTTGTGACAGTTGTACATGTAAAAACTCAATCATACTTGATAAGTGGGTTGTATGATCTTTGACCTTTTATTCATGTTATTTGTACTTCTGGATACTAAATAAATTCCAAATTTAAATTTACCAGGTGCTTCATTGTCTGTGATAATCCTAGGGCTTAATATCCATCGCATGTGGGTCCTATAAAAGGAACCAGCATAATTTACCCCCCCCCCCCCCCCAAAAAAAAAAAAAAGAAATCAAGTAAAACTCAACTGAGGCAGATTTAATCAGAAATCTGAATTTTCAGAGTATAATAATCCACATAGATGTGAACTTCAGATAAATCTACCTACTGTATTTTACAGTCAAATACAATATGTTAACAATATTTCCCCATTTTGTCACTTATATAAAAGGAGATGGGTGAACAGGTGTGCAAATGCCTATAACTTCATATATATAAACATAGGTAATCAAAGATTACAAAGCTCATCTCGACGAATGTTATCTATAAGTAATGCAAATCTCACATCCCAAAATCAATATCCATGCAAGTTTGATTTAATAGCGATTCTCTGTAACCACTTAAACTTCTTTGCCACGCATGGTCACCGATTTTGATGAAACTTTGCCCATTATTATAACTTCACACCGGAAACATATATCAAATAGAATTTCGTTGCTATGTGTCTTGGTTGCCATGGTAACAGCCAGAAAAGTTGAAAAAATTGAGATTTTCAGCTATTTTAAATCTTTATTAAGCCTTAATAAAGACTAAGAAAAACAAACACACCATTCTCACAAACACCTGACACCTTGTTGCCACTTATGCTATAAAGAAACTATTTAGAATTTATCTCTAAGTAAGTGGTAACCATGGGTACATTTGGAATACATTATAGATGCTGAAAAATGCTGCAAAACGCTCAATATTCACAAATGATAGATGTTACATGATCAAACTCAATCAAAAACCTAAGAAAAACCATGAAAAATATTTATCTTATGTAATTAGGTATTGCCAATATTATTCTAAAAATAACTTTCGTGGTTGCCATGGTAACACAGTGTCACCATGCAAAATCTGTTGCTATGATTGGGTTAATGCTGCTATCTTGAGGAAAAATAATAAAATTCATGACTTGCACATATACATCCTTAGGACCTTGTAACACTGACAACATAAGAAAAATTGAGATTAATTGTTACTTTTCAGTGTAACCATGGAAACAGCGTACTAGTTATTTAAAGTGATATTTTTTTTCTGCCTTAGTAATTTACTTACCTTTTAATCAAGAAACATATTATTTGAATCACCTTGAATATTACTTATCTCGTAGAACTAAAGTTGAATATCATATATTGATAAAGGTTGTTCAAAAATACAACACTGTTGCTATGGTTACCAAGAAGAAAAAATGTTCGATTTTGTTAATTTTATGTCAATATTAGACCCTATGTGCCCGCTTTTTGCATCCAGTTAGAGATTGGATGGTGGTCAAAATTGAAAGTCAGGTTAGTTGTTTACATATATCAATCATAAAAGTTTTGGGAATCTACATACAAGGGTACGTATCCAAGGAAACAGAGTATTTTTCAGAATTTTATGCATATTTTTTCGCCTTATTTCCATAGCAACGCGCTATTTAAAGAATTGAAATTGAATTTTTTGAAATGTGAAAATTAGGGTCACACCAAGGCCTTTAAAAATTGATCATCAGTTATATAGAAATATGCTTTTTAAAAAGATAGGATAAGATTAAAACACTAAGAGAGTAAATTTAAAATCCCTACGTGGTATTAAAACCATGGCAACCATTGTCAGCCTATAAGAAATATCATATTTTGTCCTTGGTATATGTTACAAGGATCTCTTGTCTATTATTTGCTTGCATTTCAACCTATAATTGTTTTTATTCTTAAGTGTATGACTTAATAAAATTAAATGAACAAAATTATTACTTTTGAATTCTTTGTTTCCATAGTAACGTATGTTATAGTTGATTTACCAAACATGTTTATCATGCATTTAAGACATCAGGCCTTCAACTTTCAGAAACAGTCATTGCCACTTGTTTACTTTGCTGCAAACGTTAACTGTGGGACTCTGAACATGTTGAAAAATGCCATTTTTTAAACTTTACGACATGTTGCTATGGTAACCATGACACGTAGCAACCAATTTTTGCCTGATTTGAATTTACGGTATCAAAGACTTTATTCATAGAGAGTTTGGAGAAATTCTGAGACTATGCGTGCCACAGCTCCTATATAAAAGTTCCAGTCATTACAGAGAATGGCTCTTAAGTAGGACTTATAGTTGGAAATAGACCTAGATACATCCTCCATGCATATTTGGTCAAGGTAGGACTTATGGTTATTGAGGAATGGACCTGCTCCAAATACTTTAACGTGGTCAATCATCTGGAATATCTAGGTCAGATCCATTACCGAAGCAAGTGTGGTAGTGTCCATCCCTAGATGCAACATCCATGCAAGTTTGGTCCAAGTAGGGCTTATAGTTACTTGGGAATGGACTTGCTCCTAAAATTTTAACGGGACGCGACGCCAACGCCATAGGTATAGCATAAGCTCATCTCGACTTCGTCGAGATGAGCTCAAAAGCATATTCAATTTATGAATTTAGTATTTAGAGTAAAGTTCTCTATTGAAATTTATGAAATTACCAAAAACAAAACTTTTCTGAGGAAAATTTTCAGGGCAAAAATTATTCTGTTATTAAAAAATTAATGTATTCTTGGGGTTCGAACCTTCTCAATAAAAAATCCTGAGTATCATTTTCCTTTGAGACTAACACGCTAACCACTACGCTACACAATGTAGTACACTTATCCTAATAAATCTTTTTGTGATATGATTCTTGACTAAATGGACCTAAGTATTTCTCGAAAAGATGCGAATGTTATGTCATAAAAGTGTACTTTTAAGGTACAGTGGGTCTTTGATCCATGATTTTGTTAACCAAAAATGAATATTTTTACACTAACTTTGAGGATAAACTTTCAAAAATATGAAGCGAAGACCCACTCATATCGAAAAATTGTGTTACAGTATGAGAAAATGATCCTTTTTGCCCTCTGTAGTGTGTGTGTGCTATTTCATAGACAAATAATTTCAATCTTTGTGAGATTTTTGCAAATTGTGGAGATTTTACATAAAGTATACTTTAATTTTAGATGAAATATCAAAGAAAATTTTGTTTTTTATTTTTTCACCTTCGTGTTTTTTGTGCTTGTCAAGTTTGTTTCAGGTAAGTCGAAATTTTTTCTCTGGCTGTCCCCCCTTTCAAATACGATGCAGCACTACATCCCTCTGCTCAATGACGAAAATCTTCCAAAATAACCACAAAAAATAACTTATATTAAACCCTTCATAACAGGTAGAAATAATGTACTATATTCTTCGTGATAAAATTAACCGTTTCTGTTAGAGAGTAACTGTTAATGTATTTCAATTTTTACAAATAGTACATTGTCAGGGAAGGTAAACAAAAGGATTTTTCAAATACATTTTACGATAAAGTTTTCCTGAAATATTAATTATTTTCAATAATAAATACTATCTTCAAACTAGTCAAAAATAATATGGAAGTTTATTTCTATTGTAAATCTTTAAATCGTTGAGATGCGTTGAATTCTCTCTCCCTCTCTCCCTCTTCATTCTCAAAATTTTGCATTGTATCAATTAAATTAAAATACATGTATATATGTGCACAAATTAAATAATTTGTTCTAAAATGGACATGACAAATCTCAAGTGATCTCAGGTTGAAATTTAAGACACGACATGTAAGTAGAATGCCTCAGTTGAGTCTTGGCATGTCAAGATTTATACTTATATTTGCTTTGTGTCTAATGTAGTCAAATATCTGGATTTAGAATTACTTACGCATGAATAGTGTTAGCAAGTGAAATGCAATCTTTTTGGTAAGATGCTTTCCAATTTTTTTGAATCTCACTCAATCCTTCATATCGAAAATAATTTTCTTTTAAATTAACCAAAACAAATGGGGGGGGGGGGTCCTTTTTCGATCTTGTAACTTAATGTGTGCCATTTTGCAGTAAAAATGTTGAAGATACATGTACATATATGTGTTTTCTTTGGAATTTTTCTTGAATGCTAAATTTTTTGCGACTGATGTGATGCTTTGCATCAATTTAGTTTTCAAAAAAAATTATCTATTTATTTTTAATTATTTTTTATTTATTTTATTTTATTACTATAATTATAATAATTATAATTATAATTTTTTAAATTTAATTAGTTTCAAGTACATACACTGCAGCAATCAGTTATTGTACTCGGGTTCGAGATACTTTAAAATGAATAATAGGTGGCGCTATGTAATAAACTTCCTGTAAACAGCAACAAGCATGATCGGGGGATCCAGCCCAATCATTGTTCTGAGTAAGTTTTTCTTTGTCACATACTTCTCCTGAGTATGGCTAACCTAAATTTTCTTTAAAATACATGTTTTCTTTTCTTTAGACCAGAACACAAAGCGCGAATCTGGTCGCAAAGTCCAGATAGGGAATATTGCAGCAGGCAAGGTAGGGAAACATGTTTTCACATGGTCGTCGCCATGGTGGAATGTTCCAGATCGAGAAAGCTAATTCTATTAAGTTGTTTTAATTAAAACAGTGAAAAGACTCTTGTTTATAGATCGTTTAGGTTTGTTTAAAAGCTTAATTCTTGAAAGTCCTACTTCTGCTTTAATTCATATATAAATTCATTTAAATTGTAAGAAATATTGTTGAGAAAATTCGGTCTATATTACAGGCCATTGCAGACATCATAAGAACATGTCTTGGACCAAGATCAATGTTGAAGGTTTGTCTCTTAGCTAGTGTCCATTGAATATTTCAGAAAATTAAATGTAATATGTGATAATTGATTTATGTGTACTGTACCAATTACATTCTGTCAAAGAAGCAGACATTCTTCTCAATAGTCAGTATCTTCGGAGATCAGGGTTCGACATTCACGCTCGTCACCTCGTCATTTCCACCCCCGATTGATTTTGGACGACCTGATTTTCAGTCTGGCTCGCCCAAATGACGACCTGGGACGAGTTGGGAATATTCAATAATAATGTTTAATATTTTAAAATAAACTTCATAAGGCCTTGAAAAGATTGTTTCCTGTAACCCGACCGACCCATTCAATTAGCAGCCGCGTGGATTTTTGTTTCTGCCAAATCTGGGTTTGATCAATCAGCTGATGTAATTTTTACCAAAAGTGTTAAATTAAGTTTTATTTGAGATATAAAATATGTAAACCTAGTCAACAATCACCATAAATATAAAGAGTAATGATCATTATTGTAACATCTAGCATTTCCCCCACAACTTTCTGATGTTCGTTTTCTGCTGCTAGACAGCCATGTTGGGTGTCCACTGTAAACATCCCACCTGGTTAATTCAGTCCAGGGATGTTTGATCCCATTATTTAGGCCTTTTTGGTGAGTGAAAATGAATGTTTTAAACTAGAAACTTTATTTTGTGTCAATATGTGAGGTGAGATTGTATATTAGCAAAATAAATAAATAAATAAATAAATAAATAAATAAATAAATAAATAAATAAATAAATAAATACATAAATAAATAAATAAATAAATAAATAAATACATAAATACATAAATAAATAAATAAATAAATAAATAAATAAATTCCCATCCTACCAACCCTTGATTTATTGGGAATATTACATGTATACATGAATCAAACATAATTTTTTTAAAGCCTAATTAGCATTCTGATTCTGCTTATTAATATTTGTTGCTTGTTTTTTTTTTGTTTGATAAAATACTGGAAGACAGCTTTTGATATTCCGAAAATGTCTGGTTTACATTTCCTAATAGCACAACTTCTGTTATCTTAACAAATTTTAAACAATTGCACATTTTTGTTTCTTTTGATATTTTGTTCGGGCGACCTGAAATTCATTCGGGCAACCTGAAATCAGTACCAAGGTTGCCCAAATGGCGAGACCAAATTTTAACGAGTGTCGAACCCTGGGAGATCCATCAGTCGTTATCCCTAATTCGACTATGTCTGTTTTGTAAATAAATTTGAAATACTGTTTCATTTTGTTATTCATACCTTACTTGTGAATTGAACTGATTGTTTAGAAAAAAATGTCTTTATTGTTTGATTACATCTTGTTCAAAGTACAACATTTACCAAGCAACATTTTGAAAAACAGGTCCTAGGCAGGGGTCTAGAATTACGCTTTCCCATTGCCCGGGGCAAGTGAGATTCATCTCGGGAAAGATAGTTTTCATGATAAACTTACCCGAACGGGAAAGTAATAAATTTCAGGCTGAGCCAGCAAAACTTTTTGAGTTTATTAAAATAAATCAATAACAATAAACATCCAATTACATTGTATTAGAATCTGCACAAGTCTGCTACATTTCGTTTATTTAATCTCCAATACTTATCATAGGAAGTCCAATTACTTCTATAATATCGGAACCAATCCGGAAAGATCTCAAAATTATGGAATGGCTTTTAAAACAGAAATGATGTTTTGAAAACAATGTTTTGTCAAAATGTGATTAAATCAATAGATATTTTAACAAAATAATAAACAAGTACATAATAATTGCTTTTAGATGGTGTATACATTAAAACCACACAATAAAAAAAAATAACAAAATAGAGTTGTTTATATTTTTCTAGATTTTTAGGTCACCTGAGTCACTCAGGTGACCTATTGCTATCTGTTTTCGTCCGTCGTCGGTCGTAAACTTTGGAACATTTTCAGCTTCTTCTCTTGAACCACTGAACCAATTTCAACCAATTTTGGCATATAGCATCAATGGGTGAAAGGGTACAAAAATTGTGAATTTCATGGTCCCTGCCCCCCTGGGGCCTGAGGGGTGGGGCTAAAACCATCAAAATTAGTGCTATCTTTAAAAATCTTCTTCTTTACTCCTGAACATCAAGCAGTCAAACTGTTGGCATGATTGTAATAAGCATTGAGCCCTCTACCAAAATTGTGAAATTCATGGCCCCAGGGTCAGGGGTTCTGGTGCTAGGGCGGGGCTAGATAGATCATATAGTGAAAGTGCATTATTTCTTTGAAAATCTTCTTCTCTACTCCTGGGTATTATTTAAACAAATTAAATACATAGTTATGATAAGCAAGAGTGACTCTACCAAAATTGTGAAATTCATAGCCCCAGGGTCAAGGGTTCTGGGCTAGGGTGGGGCTATGTAGATCATATAGTGAAAGTGCATTATTTCTTTGAAAATCTTCTTCTCTACACCTGGGTATTATTTAAACAAATGAAATACATAGTTATGATAAGCAAGGATGCCTCTTCCAAAATTGTGAAATTCATGGCCCAGGGATCAGGGGTTCTGGTGTTAGGATGGGGCTATATAGATCCTATAGTGAAGGTGAATTATTTCTTTGAAAATCTTCTTCTCTGCCCCTGGGTATTATTTAAACAAATTAAATACATAGTTATGATAAGCAAGAGTGACTCTACCAAAATTGTGAAATTCATAGCCCCAGGGTCAGGGGTTCTGGTGCTAGGGCGGGGCTATATAGATCATATATGAAAGTGCATTATTTCTTTGGAAATATTCTTTTCTGCTCCTGGGTATTATTTAAACAAATTAAATACATAGTTATGATAAGCAAGAGTGACTCTACCAGAATTGTGAAATTCTTGCCCCAGGGTCAGGGGTTCTGGTGCTAGGGTGGAGCTACATGTTATATAGATCATATAGTGAAAGTGCATTATTTCTTTGAAAATCTTCTTCTCTACTCCTGGGTTTTATTTAAATAAATGAAATACATAGTTATGGTAAGCAAGGATGCCTCTTCCAAAATTGTGAAATTCATGGCCCAGTAATCAGGGGTTCTGGTGTTAGGATGGGGCTATATAGATCCTATAGTGAAGGTGAATTATTTCTTTGAAAATCTTCTTCTCTGCCCCTGGGTATTATTTAAACAAATTAAATACATAGTTATGATAAGCAAGAGTGACTCTACCAAAATTGTGAAATTCATAGCCCCAGGGTCAAGGGTTCTGGTGAAAAAAAAAAGGGGGGGGGGGCTCTGTTGATTATATAGTGAAAAAGCAAAATTTCTTTGAAAATATTCTTTTCTGTTCCTGGTTAAAAAGCAAAGAAGCTAAGTGTATAGTTATGATGAGCAAGAGTGCTTCTTCCAGAGTAGTGAATTGCATAACCCCTGGGTCAGATGTCTGGTGTAAGGGTGGGGCTCTTGATAATATAGTGAAAATGCATTAATTCTATTAAATAGTCCTGTCTACTCTTAGTGTTAAGCAGATAAACAAAGTGATTACTTATGATGAGCAAACTTCTGGTCCCAGGGTGAGAGGATCTGGTGTTTCTTGCTGGGGAGGGGGGGGGTCTATTGATAATATAGTGAATCTGTAATAAAAATGCATTATTTCTTTTAAAATCTTCTCTGCACCTGGGCATATCAGAGGCAAAAAGAGTAAAAGTTTTAATAAGGAAGAGTATTTTTACCAGATTTTTGAACACCTGGACCATTTGGTCAAGTGTTCTGGTCCTGGCCAGGGCTCTATTAATTTGTATTCTACTGAGAGGAGTTATTCCCCTTTGCCATTTACTTTTGATAATTAATCACTGTAAGTAATGTACTTGAAAGGTTAATGGAATAAGAGAATTATGCAAGAATGTTTATTGTATAATACATAAGGACTTTCATAGTTTTAATGATCAGATGATACTTGTAAGTAATAGATAAATAAAAATGAGACAAAAATAACTTGTCTTTTTGAATGTTCATCAAAGACCAAGAGAAGCCAATGTAAGAGATTTTAACAAGGAATTAAAATAGTACAGAAGCACTGATAGTTTGCTATTTAATATACTGTATGGTGATAGTGATAAATGGGGAACAGATTAGAATCTAATTTATGAACTGTTAATGAATACTAGACTAATTATTTTGTTGATCCTGATCACCCTATTTTTCTTGCTTTTGGGCAACAAAGCTTCACCTTTCAGTTCATTTTATACTCTATGGATCCTCTAAATTGTTGTATTATACTCAGGTGACCGTTAAGGCCCTTGGGCCTCTTGTTGTTTTCAAGTTCTGTTTTAGGTTAATTAATGATATGTTTTCAAATAAATAAACCAGTAAAATTAAATGATTTTCTGATATGTTTTCAAAAAAAAAAAAAAATCAGTAAAACTAGATGATTTTCTCTATCTTTTCGGGGGCAAGTGAATTTTGAATCTCGGCAAGTGGATTCCCAGTCATTACTTGCCCGTGGGCAAGTGAATTTAAAAAAAAATTCTAGACCCCTGCTAGGGTCGTGATCTCAATGACATTATAAAGGCCGAAAATACCAATTTGGATAGATGACTTCTGTTGACATAATGTAAACAAAGCGAACGGTACCACCAGATAGGTTGTAAGAAAAATATATGTTAGACTTTCTTATCAATCATATGTAGTAATAGAGGATTTATGCTGTGGTGAAATTTTTTTTATGACTATGTTTTATACCTGTTTTGACTTATCATTGTCTGCAGTTGTAAAATATGACAAAAACAATCCAAATAAAATTTTTCTAATGATGTCGGGTGGACCCAATCTTTGGAGATACTCGAGAAAAATAAAAGGGGCACGACTCTAGAACCATAACAAATTTATAAGGGTCTCTGAAGATATATTCTGTATATAATATAAATCATATAAAAAAAAAAATGGTCAAATTCATTAAGAATTTGTTATTGTCTAATTTAAAATAGATGTTAATGGATCCTATGGGAGGAATAGTGATGACAAACGATGGAAATGCTATTCTTAGAGAGGTAGGATTATTTAATTGAATGTTTGCATATATAACAGTATTTTTTGTAACTAAACTGAGATTCCTTTGACTCTAATCCCCGCTTTTATTTCTGCTTTTATATCTGGTGTGCCTCTCCTACTCTGCCTAAACTCTGCCTACACTCTGCCTAAACTCTGCCTACCTTTTACAACTTTAGTGTTGACTCTCCTCTGACAGGTTTTGGACTTGTCAGGTCCAGAGGTTGATGCCTCACTAAAAGAAGTGAGAAATTAAGAAAAGATAATGAAAAAAAATCTGACCTGGATCTAAACCCTTAACCCCTGTTCACTTTGCAGACTAACTTATTATGATTAACCCTGCTAGTCAAACAAGAAGATCAAATTGGTAATTTATTTGAATTTTTTTTTTCCAGATCAATGTACAGCATCCAGCTGCCAAATCCATGATAGAGGTCGCCCGCACGCAGGATGAGGAAGTGGGAGATGGTACCACCTCCGTCATTATACTTGGTGGGTAGTTATGATTAATGAAACTGAAACATCATTTATAGGTACTCTCTTAAAGGGGTTGTAATTCAGCTAGTAAATTTTGGTTGTATTTTTTTTTTTTTTTTTTTTTTTTTTTTTTTTTTTTTTTTTTTTTGTATGGAATATATGGTTGATACATACAGATCTAATATCACAACAAGTATTGCTTGATAGAATAAGTTTTAGATTTAACCTTAATTTTGGCAAAAACTTCTCAAATCTGATGTGAACAAATTTTAAAAAGAGCACTTCTGCAAAACTTACAGTTGGTCCTGCTGGATGAAACAGTAATAGAGGCTACCGTTTTAAATTTATATTGCATTCCATTTGATCTGTACAAACAGATTCTTAATACATCATCTGTATTTTAACATAATGGTACTAATTTATTTTAGGAGGAGAGATGCTTTCAGTGGCCGAGCCCTTTTTACAGCAACATATGCACCCCACGGTGATCATTAGTGCTTTCAGACAGGCCTTGGAGGATCTGGTCGAAATCCTTAGGGATAAAATCAGGTTAAAAATTGCATTGTTTTAAGTCATTGTTGTTTGTGTATGAAATTTTGAATTCACCACACTTTCAGAAGTAAATCTAAAATAACTTACTTAAAAAAGATGACAAAATTGTGCTCAATGCACTAATGTCTTACCTACTTAAGTTAGTTTCTGAACAACATGTGATTATTGTTTATTAAAGTGTTCCAGTTGACATCACTAACAGAGATGAGATGATGAAGATAGTCAAAAGTTGTGTAGGAACAAAATTCATTAGCAAATGGTAAGTAATTAAAATCAATTTTGATGATGCACATATCCAAAACATTTCTATATATACATGTATATAATTTGTATGTGGATGTTGCAAGTAAATTTTATAAAAGGAAACATGGAAATAGTATCTCAAGCAGCATTTTCTGTGTTTCAGGGCTAATTTGGCTTGTGAGATTGCCCTGAAAGCTACAGCTACTGTCCTATTAGAAGAAAATGGAAGGAGAGAAATAGATATTAAAAGATATGCCAAAGTAGAAAAGGTAGGTGATCTACCTTATTTTACCTTAACCTTTACAAAAGTACTGGTCAGATTTTGATAACAGAGTGAGCATGCTACTGTCCATCTGTTTGAGATCACTGAACTTTCAAAACCATTTACAGTGTATCTTATTAAATCTCATCCATGAAAAATATAATCTTTTGTATATTAATATATATATTTTTTTGTTACAATGTATGCTAAACTGAGCATGTCTCTTGCATTGAAACTTAATTGATGCTATATTATTAGAAACTAATTTCTTTTACAGATTCCTGGTGGTACGATAGAAGATTCCAAAGTCTTAACTGGAGTCATGCTTAACAAAGACATTGTCCACCCTAAAATGAAAAGGTCTGTCAAAATTGAGAAGAATTTTTAAAAAATGTTAAAAATATATGTATATTATAAGAAATTACTAATTATTTTGGAGATTTTGAAAAAGAATTTTTTTTTTTGCAGGAGGATAGAAAATCCTAGAATATTATTATTGGACTGTAACCTAGAGTACAAGAAAGGAGAGAGTCAGGTAATACTGTAGACCAACTTCCCATTAAAGTTTATTGAGGATGGAGAATTTTATCACTGAGAATAGTTCTATTGTTCCGGCATTTTGAAAAAGAAGACTAGGTTTTAAAAAATCATAATAAAGAAAAATAAGCATAAACATGTCATGGAATGGTTGAATGAAAATAAATTTTAAAAAAGCATGAAAGCTATTTAGTCTCAAAGACTATTTGATTTATGGGCCAACATTCCAAGCTCAATAAAATGAACTAAAATATGGATGTATCCTATTGTGCTTCATTAGATAAATAAGTTATTTTTACTAAAAATAAATACTTCAACCAAAAATTTGTTTCTTTTTTGCAGACAAACATTGAAATTACAAAAGAAGAAGATTTTTCGTAAGTACACATATTTTTGTGTTATAGATGTTGATATACATAGATGTATATTATGGATATGTACTGTTAGGTACTAAAAGTTTTGCACAAACTTGAAATTCCTCAGCTTTTGAAATGAGACTTTCATTTCTGTTTTTCAGTAAGATTTTGCAAATGGAAGAGGAATACGTCAAAAAGATCTGTGATGAAGTGATTGCTGTCAAACCAGACTTGGTCATTACGGAGAAAGGAGTTTCTGATCTAGCCCAACATTTTCTGGTGAAGGCAGGCATTAGCTGTATCCGAAGAGTACGAAAGTCTGACAACAACAGAATAGCACGGTACTGACTAGTGAAGTCTTAAGAGGCATATAAGTCTCTTTAGCTTGATTTTATTGCATTTACATGTACAAGAGCAGTATGCTTAAAGAAGATTGTGAAGCATGAAATATTTTTTCTGCAGAAGTGCCATTTGTCATTCAAAATACTTGAAAAATGTTTAAATGAATATTATTATTCAGCAAGTTGACCAGAGAAAGAATAATAATGTTAGGTAATTTATGAAATAATTATGGGCAATTGAAGGTCCATTTGATGTGAATGATTTCTGATGCTTACAGTGCTTGTGGAGCCACTATTGTCAATAGAACTGATGAGATTCGAGAAGAAGATGTTGGAACAGAATGTGGACTGTTTTACATTGAAAAGATTGGTGATGAGTAAGTTGTATCATTATTTATTTTAATACAGCAGGCAAAGACCACACGTGAAATGGAAAAATAGGCCATTAAAGAAAGCACAAGAATTTTTAGTGTGTTTTCAGATGATGGATGTTTTTCAAAAATGATTTTTAATATTCTTTTCATGTTTTCTGCTTGATTACTTTGATACTTTGTATTTAAAGAATTGAAAATTTACAGGTATTTCACATTCTTGGTGGAGTGTAAGAATCCCAAAGCCTGCACGATCCTGCTCCGTGGAGCCAGCAAGGACATCCTGATGGAAGTGGAGAGAAACCTGCAGGATGCTATGAATGTGTGTAGAAATGTAATGCTGGAGCCTTACCTTGTTCCTGGAGGTGGGGCAGCAGAAATGGCACTGTCTCAGGTAAGTCGTATACACTAATACAGAGCTATCAGATAAATATTTCCCATGCATCTTGTACAATGAACCATTTGGTTACTTTGGAAATTACTTTCTGTTTTCCTCAGACCTTTTTCTTTTCCTTGCCAAACAAATATGACTTCATGATTTATATATACTCTGCTTAGCACCCTTTCTGACTGGTGAATACAGATTTCATACATCATTATGATTTTAGGAAATAAATGTTTCACTATGGTCCCCTTTAAAAAATAATTTAGTTATAGTAGGAATCAAGAATAGAGTTTATGAGGTCTAATGTACTAAAAAAAAATTTCAGGCTTTGAATGAGAAGGCTAAGAGTATTACTGGGGTACACCAGTGGCCTTACAGAGCCGTTAGTCGAGCTCTGGAGGTCATTCCTAAGACTCTAATTCAAAACTGTGGAGCCAGCACAATCAGAACCCTTACTGCCCTCAGAGTAAGTAACATCTTTAGATTTTTTGTTAAAATTTTTATGCTTAAAGGACTACCTGGGAATTGAAATATACTGTTTAAAGACTTTGCTTTGGGAAGGTGTTCTTTAAATTAAATTAACTTTGCCACCTGTAAATGTAAAATACATGTATATGCTTTGTCATAATTCTTGTCGATACAAGAAAAGAACAATTTCAATACAATTTTTTCAAGACATACAATGTATAACAAGAACAAAGAATCCAGTTTGTTTAAGTAGGAAATAAATTTAGATGAAGAGTGATTGTAACCAATGATTTATGTTTTAACAAGGCTAAGCATGCCACTGCCAACAACAGTAGCTGGGGTGTGGATGGAGAGACTGGAAAAGTGGTAGACATGAAGGATTATGGAATCTGGGAACCATTTGCAGTCAAAGTCCAAACCTATAAAACTGCTATAGAGGTAAATTCACTCCCATCATAGGCTTTTATGTTTAATTGAATTGGATAAATTAGATATTCCTTATTAATTAAAGGTCACAAAGATACATTGTACATGTATGTAATAGAGCCTCATATTAACATTAACACCTCCATTTTCTTGCAGACTGCTGTATTACTTCTGAGAATTGATGATATTGTATCTGGAGTGAAGAAGCAGGGAGACACTGGTGGTGCCCCGGGAGGAGGTGCCCCCAGTGCCCCTCCAGATGCCTCAGAAGGACCAGAGGCATAGACGTTTCCTAATAACAATTAGATTCACTGTCCATTATGACAATGTGTTCACAGATCGCTGGAATCAGTCCCCTCATATTGAACAAATGTGAAGCTTGCTGTATTAATTTAAGATTATGTTTTTGCCTATCAAGAGGCATTTAATGTACATGTATTCATGTATTTTGTAATTCATATTTATCTAAAACTAAATTGTGATTTGGAAATAAAGTCCTACTTGAATTTGTATTTGATATTCTTTGTTACTTAAAGTATTGCACAACTTCTTTTAAGGAAATTTTACATATAAAATGCAGTCAAACCTCTTTATCTCGAACTCAGTTGGACCCAGAAAAACTTAAATATCCAAGGATTTGTTATATCCAGGATAAAGTACTGAAGAGAATTAAGGGGTTGGGACTTCCAAATCACTTTGACATATCCATGGCATTCGAGATATCGGTGTTATAGATACAGAGGTTCAACAGTTACTGTAGAAAACAAGGTTGAAGATACATGAAATGAGCAGGGATACTTCCACTACAGTTTTTTTTATTCGAAAATAAAAAAAAGGTTTATATGATAATAAGGTTTATATGATAATAAAGCATGCAGTGAAATTAATTATTCTGAACAGGGACATAATTTTATAATTATATATACTAAATATATATATGTACATGTATAGACGATACATTCCCCTCTTATCAAGGAGCAGATGATTTAGAAATTTGCTCTTGTGAAAACTGCCATTAGCTTTAAATACATACATGTAGTAAAGCAGTTTTGATGACAAAGTAACGCTCAATTAAACCAGGGACATAAACGGTATAACATTAAGTACATGTATGTTTTAATAATGCAATTTAAATATGGTATTTATGTAATCTACAAATATTTTTGATTAATATACAATGTGGATCAGCATTCTAAAACGATGATACTATCAAATTTGCTGTGTTTCAACACAAAAGGTCTCAGGATCTATAGTACATGAAAACTTGTGCCCCCATCCCCCACCCCGCCCTCTCTCTCTCTCTCTCTCTCTCTCTCTCTCTCTCTCTCTCTCATATGCAATTACATGTAATTGCCTGTAATTATTCAAGTTTACAGCTGAATGTATCAAGCAAACTCTGTTTGATGAAATTAGGTATGTGATTGTAATGGGGGAAAAGGGGGGGTTATGGTTTTGTAAACTGGTCCTTTTCAAATAAATCCTACTTTCATTTTCCATGCGAGTACCAGTTTATTGGAAGATGGCTGCCCCTAGTGGAAAGGGGTTTCCAGATTTTCAGCGATTAAAAATCCTCGCTAAAGATGATCTTACAAGCCTACTGGATGAAGTAATATATTAATCCGTTATTAATGAAATTATATTTGTTAATGGACTAGCCTTTTATCACGATATCACGGCTTTATTGTGTTGTTCATGTCTTTCCCAAAACAATAGTTCGGTGACAATTATTATGAACATGGTAGTGACAACTGTTGATCAGCCATCCACCTTAATATGCTTTACTGACACAGAAAATAATTAATATTGATGCAGTCTGTTGGTTTAGTCTACATCATGTTCATGGAGACGAGAAGAAATTTCGTTATATGCATTGATCAATGTACTGTAAACAAAAACTATAGACGACAAAAGTGGGCGTGGTCGTATTTACATTTGTTACAAGTCTCTGAGATTTCAACAATATTTAAATAAAATATCATGAAGATAGGTTTAAATTGTATATATATATATATATATATATATATATATATATATATATATATATATATATATATATATATATATATATATATATATGTATATATATATATATATATATGTATGTATGTATATTCATTATGGTTCTCGCTATTTTTTAAATTTAATATACAATAGGTCAGGGATTTCTAGCATATCTCTTTAATTTTCATTTTGATTTTTTTAGATGCCTGGGAAAAAGGACTTAGTTATTGATGCAGACTTAATGAAACCACTAGATAGGATTGCTAGTATATCTCTTCTCAAGGTAACATTGTTTTGTTTTTTTTTTCATTGGGCAAAATGTGGTTTCCTTTGAAATCTGCTATAAGGAATACAGAAGCTTTCTTCATAGGGGTATCACATTCAAATGAGCAACAGCTGTAAACTGTAATAAATAATGATTGTACAGAACATCTAATTTTGAATGATGGAAAGTGGTGACAGATCCATAACTGAAAAAAAAAATTGAATCATTTAAACTGCTCTTAGTTATGCAGAAATTTGTTGATAATTTAAACATTTATAATATACGGTAGTTACAGTTGTTCAATTGAGAAATGAAGAAAATTAAACAATTATCTTTGTAGCTTGTTTCTGAGGTTGTTCCTTAGATCTAAGTACATGTATCTTCCATGTTTCAGCAAAGAGGAGTAGAAAAAATCTACAAATTTGACAGTACATTGAAGTCTATGAGTGGCTGTGAACAGTAAGTGTTTCATGCAAATGTACCTCTTCTTTTTGCGACATATAAGCTGTCAGGTGACAACTGAGATATACATACTTGTATTACACTCTGTACTAAGGACACTGCTTCATTGGCAGCACCACCAGAAACCCACCTCCATGAACTGTAAGATAAGAAGTATGACTGGGATGTGGCTCTCTAGTATTTCACAACAAAGTTTGAAAAAAATATGTAGCTGTGAATAAAAAAGGAATTTAAATTAAAAAAAAAAGTTTCCCATGAGTAAAGGGTCATTAATAGGGTATTTGGTTACCACTGGACCGCTAAAGTAGCAAAAGAGCTTGCTAGGTCAACCTCGTACTACTACATGTATATCTGTAATGTGAAAAATGACACTGTAAAATATACATGTGCTTCACCTTGTAGGAGGCTTTATCTGGTCCGACCCAGGATGACCACAATGAAGGCCATTGCTGACCACATCAACTCTGATCTAAATATCAACTTCAAACGAAAATATAATATCATATTTGTTCCAAGAAAAGTAAGGACATTTTTTTTTAGATTTTTAAATTTTTTTTTTTACACTTCCATATAACTTGAATATACTAGAGAGTGATTTGTTATAACATTTTAAAGATTTATTTATATTTATGACATGTTAATTAATTTTGGTCTTTCCAATCAGAACAAAAATGTACCATGCTACAATCTTAAGATATAATTTTTTTCCATATTAATTGATCATTTTTAATTCAGTTACACACCTGCCTGTCCGTTCTGGAGTATGAAGGGGTAATTGGTCATGTGACTTTGAGTGAATTTCGATTAGACTTTATACCTCTGGACAAAGATATCCTATCTCTAGAACTACCAGAATTCTTTAAGACATTTTATCTTGTAAGTGAAAGTTAACACACATATATACACATTATTCTTATATTTTAGATACTAAAGATCGCGAATGTGAATTGGAAAGTTTACGTTTTTCGATAGAAGTTGGATTATACTCTGTCATGTAGAACATGAAAAAGAACAAATACACATATACATGTAATCCGAAAATCATTATGGACAAGTCCTGTGTCTTTCTTACATGCTGAATTTTTGTGACATAAAACTTTATTGTCGTCCTTTTTCGGCATATACAGGGCTATGGATGATGAAATGTACACATTAAAGTAACATACATGCCCAAGTTTTACAACGCACAAGATAATGCTACATATCATTACAGGAAAATGATCAGACTTGGATTCATACTGTGGCCAAATCTCTTGTCCGGATACAAGCTCTTACTGGTGAAATCGGCCATGTACATTGTATAGGTAAAGGGGCTAAGGTAGGTTTAAAATAATCAGGGAAATTTTGAATGCTCTTGTCTTACTGTTTATGAAAATTAAAGTTACTGAATATTTATAGTTGAAATGATTACATACAAATGCAAGTTAATTTTTGGGATTTTTTTTTGCAGATGACAAATGATTTGATGAACTTTTTAATGAATAGAAACTCATCTGACCAGGATTTCAGTAGACATGAAATAGGCACTCTTATCCTGATAGACAGAGGTAGGTGGTCTTATCCTGATAGATAGAGGTAAGTAGTCTTATCCTGATAGACAGAGGTAGGTGGTCTTATCATGATAGTCAGAGATAAGTAGTCTTATCCTGATAGATAGAGGTATGTAGTCTTATCCTGATAGACAGAGGTAGGTGGTCTTATCATGATAGTCAGAGATAAGTAGTCTTATCCTGATAGATAGAGGTATAGTCATATCCTTATAGACAGTGGAAGGTAGTCTTATTCAGATGGACAGAAGTATTCTTATCCTGATACACAGAGACAGGTATTTTTATCCTGATACACAGAGGTAGGTAGTCTTATTCTAATAGGCAGAGGTAGGTAGTCTTATTTTGATAGACAGAGGTTGGTAGTCTTATTCTAATAGACAGAGGTAGGTAGTCTTATTCTAATAGACAGAGGTTGGTAGTCTTATCCATATAGACAGAGGTTGGTAGTCTTATTCTAATAGACAGAGGATGGTAGTCTTATTCTAATAGACAGAGATAGGTAGTCTTATTCTAATAGACAGAGGTAGGTAGTCTTATTCTAATAGACAGAGGTAGGTAGTCTTATTCTAATAGACAGAGGTTGGTAGTCTTATTCTAATAGACATAGGTAGGTAGTCTTATTCTAATAGACAGAGGTAGGTAGTCTTATTTTGATAGACAGAGGTTGGTAGTCTTATTCTAATAGACAGAGGTAGGTAGTCTTATTCTAATAGACAGAGGTTGGTAGTCTTATCCATATAGACAGAGGTTGGTAGTCTTATTCTAATAGGCAGAGGTAGGTAGTCTTATTTTGATAGACAGAGGTAGGTAGTCTTATTCTAATAGACAGAGGTAGGTAGTCTTATTCTAATAGTCAGAGGTTGGTAGTCTTATCCATATAGACAGAGGTTGGTAGTCTTATTCTAATAGACAGAGGTAGGTAGTCTTATTTAATAGACAGAGATAGGTAGTCTTATTCTAATAGACAGAGGTAGGTAGTCTTATTCTAATAGACAGAGGTAGGTAGTCTTATTCTAATAGACAGAGGTTGGTAGTCTTATTCTAATAGACATAGGTAGGTAGTCTTATTCTAATAGACAGAGGTAGGTAGTCTTATTTTGATAGACAGAGGTTGGTAGTCTTATTCTAATAGACAGAGGTTGGTAGTCTTATTCTAATAGTCAGAGGTTGGTAGTCTTATCCATATAGACAGAGGTAGGTAGTCTTATTCTAATAGACAGAGGTTGGTAGTCTTTTCCATATAGACAGAGGTTGGTAGTCTTATTCTAATAGACAGAGGTTGGTAGTCTTATTTTAATAGACAGAGGTAGGTAGTCTTATTTTAATAGACAGAGGTTGGTAGTCTTATCCATATAGACAGAGGTTGGTAGTCTTATTCTAATAGACAGAAGTTGATAGTCTTATTCTAATAGACAGAGGTTGGTAGTCTTATTCTAATAGACAGAGGTTGGTAGTCTTATTCTAATAGACAATGGTTGGTAGTCTTATCCATATAGGCAGAGGAATATAGTCAATCCTGATAGACAGAGGAAGATAGTCTTATCCTGATACACAGAGGTAGGCAGTCTTATCTTGATAGACAGAGCTACAGTATATAGTTACTGGAGATTTGTGTGTGATGTACATGTATAATGAACAGAATCCCATTTAGGAATGATCTATTAATCTTAATTCATTTACAATTAATAAAACTAGGGGTAAAAACTGGCAGTTTTGGATTCAGTTTTAGAGATGTATCTATGTTCCGTGTGAAATACTAAGTGGATACATCTCTAACTACAGTGAAAATCTGTATTTTTAAATCAGGATAACTGTGCATGATGATTTGTGTTTGATTTGTAGATGTGGATTATGTAACTCCATTGTGTTCACAACTTACTTACGAGGGCCTCCTGGATGAAACATTTGGCATCAAGTGCGGTAAGAGATGGGATCTTTTATATTCCTTTAGCTGAGGTAAACCTGGACATTACTTGTTTTTATGTGTAAGTTGTAATATTAATCAAATGTTTAGCTTGTGGTGTTTTCTCGTTAGGAACCATTGAATTTGGACCAGAAGTTACTGGGAAACAACAGAGTGCCAAGTTACTACTCAATTCAGATGACGTAGTTAGTATAAAAATTTTTTTTTTTAAGTACACATGCACAGTTTACACGTCTAAAGCAAAAACTTACAATATATATTGAAACTTTGTCAGGGTGGAAGAAACATTTTTTTTTAAAACTTTGATTTCAGTGATTTCTGTGTATTTCTTTCAAGTGATTTAAGTGATTTACAAAATTAAGATTTCACCTATATAATAGGTTTACTTTTTTCTCTGTAGATATTTGAAGATGTCAGAAATCGCCATTTTTCCCATGTCCTAGGATATTTAAGTTCAAAGGCCAAGTTACTCCAGCAGGATTTTGATGTAAGTAAAAACACTTTTTGCTGTGAAATATGACACAATTATGCACTCTAGTAGTTTAATGATTTCATTTATTGATCAGTAGATTGGTGATGTACTTTTAGGCATTGTTTTGTATTGCCGTAAATAGATTTGTCTTAGTCAAATTGCTTATAAATATTAATATTCCATACCAACCTTGGTGCAGTGCATGTATGTTGATGATATGCAAATATTGGTATATTATGAAAAAATGTTTTAGTATAATCACAACTAGAGGTAACTTTATATCTGAATAGGAAAAAGAATTCCACAGAGCTGCTGAAGACCACAGCTGTAAATCCTTAGTTTAAAACCAATCGATTACCAGTACTTGTACCACCTGTTTTGAAGGGTTGAAACTCTAGCATTCACTGAAAATATAGTCACCACCAAATACTGTCACAAAGAGATGATTTTAATACTGTGGTATTAATTGCACATATTCATATGGGTTGCATCTCAAAAAAAAGTCTGTCAGTAATTCTGATTTTCCTTGCAGAAAAGGCATGGACTTAAGTCTGTTGGAGACATGAAGGACTTTGTTGCAAATGAACTTAGAAGGCTCAAAGAACAAAAATCTGTGCTTGCCAATCGTATGTTTATAAAATGCAATTATTCATAATGAACAATCTAAAATCAAGGAATTCATTGTTTCTGTTAAAAATATTTGAATAAGGTTGCTTATAGCCATAATCGTGTACATTTCAAAATTGTAAACAAAAAATCTTTTATGTATCTATGTATAGACATTGGAGCTTGTGAGCAGATTCTGGGGAAGAAAACTAAAGGTGGATTTGAGGATTATCTACAGACAGAACACAGTACGTTTGTCTGGGATAATTTTTTTTGGTCATTATTTTTTGTACATCATGTACATGTAACTGTTCGAGATTTGAGCACTCCATAATTTACACTTCATAGTTAAAAGCACTAATGAAAAGCAAAAATAAGATAATCCCAGTCATCATTTATGCCAGGTTTTATGCTTAGGTAATACATGGATGTGAAACTTTAAACTTATTCTTTACTATAGGCCTACTGGAGAGTTCCAGTGTGAGAGACAATGTTACGTACATTGAAGAACTCATCTTTAAACAGGTACTTATACCTTCAGTTTACAGATAATTACAGCTCTTACTTAATTCATACATTTTTGTTTTTCTTTCTTGTGTCCAGTGTTCAAGTATTTGACTTTCTTTTAAACTAAAAATTTGATGTACATAGTAGAAAAATATTAGTAGAAACAAAATGAGTTCAGTACTGCAGATTGTTTAAATGTATACCGGTACTTTCCAATGCGATTGTTTTAATACTATTACTGTAATATGAAGGGGTAATTTAATTATGCTAATTATATGTGAAAGGAAAGCTTTTGGTAAATATCCCTCCGCAAACCAACACATTTAAACTGGGGGAGTCAAACGGAATCAATCGCTGGTGGCCAGATAACTCAGTCAGTAAAGACCTGACTGGAGATTCTGGGGGCCTGGGTTCAAATCCCAGTCTGGTCTGTCACATTTTTCTCCTTTCCTGTTACATTTGTTGCTGTGCCATGCCCTGGAAGGGCATTTCTCCTTTTACTGTTACAAAACATTTCATTCAGTTTTAACAATACCTGTATATAATCCCTGTATCACAGAAATGGCCCCCACACATTATGTTATTGCTTCTTATTTATTTAATTAACAACACTTGTAAATATCCACATATATTTACAGTATTAGTCAATTGCATGCAAGTTACGTTCATTATCTTATCAAATACTAAGATCATTTACTAGCAGAGGCTTATGTCTTTTGTGCATTTCACAGTTTGTCTAATGTATGTACATGTATGTAGAGATACAGCTAGTTCTTTATTTAATGGTGTACTTATAAATATAATATTTTATACAGGATAACATGTTGAAGACATTGAAGCTCATGTGTCTTTTGTCCCTAACTCAGAATGGAATACCTTCCTCTACATATAAATCACTCAAGACCCAATATCTACAGGTAGGTTTTGAATATTTATGCAAGTATTTAGTTATTTAATCATAAAAATGATTTGTGCAACAGTATGTTCAGATTTTCAAAGATCGGTACCCTTGTAGTTTTTTCATGCATTCATATTAAAGGTCTCCATTTTATCAAATCTCAGAAAAGTGACATGTAAAGATTGTATTTTTAGAGTCATGGTTTTGAGCAGCTGATCACATTTTCCAACTTGAAGTCCCTGGGTATTCTGACAGAACAGGAAACAGGAAGTCAGGCCGCCACACCTCTGAACAAGGTCACGTCTGGTATGGCAGCCATGACAAGAAGGAGCACATTCCAAAGTCTCTGTAAAAAACTTTCATTGGTAAGCGTCCACCATCAAGAAAGAATATTACTACCAGCACAGTTCACCCAATGAGCTGCTTGTAGCTATTTCATATACATGTATATAATAGGCAATTTCCCTCACCTTTGAATGTATCTAATGTTGAATTTTTTTCTTTCAAATTCTTTTCTCTAAAACCCAGAAAATTATTCATAGATACAGATTTCAAAATTTCTAGATATTATCAAATCTAGTATGTGTATGTTTGATTCAAGACAGATTTTATTTGTTTATTTATTACAGATTCCCAAGTCAGATGACATTGACCTGAAAAACCCTACAGACATGTCGTATGTGTTTAGTGGTGCCTACACACCTTTATCCTGCAAACTAGTGGAACAGGTAATAACTTGAAAAGTTTCTTTAATCAATGAATTCAAAGACTAAAGGCTAAATATTCTGTTATTTTGAAAGGGATGGAACTACCTTGTATAATTAAGGCAGAGATTGTTTTTTGTAGACAAAATTCTTTTATGAAAATTTCTCATAGTGACAAATACAATGCATTGTCTTTGTAAATGATGGAGCTAACCTTCTGACATTATTCTGCAACTTAAGAATTATGAATTACTTGCAATGTTCTCATACAGGTTGATGAAGGTTTAATATACAGTAGTAAAAACAAATAAAAAGGGACAAATCATTTCAAACTTTTGAGATCTGTAGCATTGAAATATATGGATTTACAGATATTAACTAGAGGAGGTTTCGCTGGTATGGAAGAAATCACGAAATACTTACCAGGAGGGGTTCACAGTGAAAACCACGTCAAGGCATCAAAAGGTATAACTCAGGCTCAATTACAAGTCAATTATTCAATGCTTAATGCTAGGGACTATAGATTTTCATTATTTTCCATTTACTTAGTTAATCATTAGATAGGAACAAGATTTCCCTGATAACATGACTCCATTAGGAATTGATTGGAAGACAAATCAAATGTCAATCATCTGGGTTAATTTTACAAGTCATCTTTCAAAGTAATTAGTTCTGTAGCTATAGTAGACTTTAGTTACTTCTTCATATACACTGTATATTTTTTTGGAACCACAAACAAAAATGTTCTTACTAGTATGATTTTGAAGTTGTACATGATTTCCAAAATTTTAGTCCAACACAACCATTTACATAATTATACACATACTTTAATCCAGACAGCAGCACAACATCAAAAGACAAATCAGGTATGAGTTGATATTATTTTTATAGCATTTCTGAAATTGCTTTTAAATAGTACTTGTACAGTCAAGCCCTGTTAATCTGGACACATGTAGATTGACCGGATTACCGAAATAGACTTTGTATACAAGGGTTGTCCCAAAATTATGTAGACTGAGCTCGTATCTTTTTCTATCTCTATAAAATTTTCTGGGTGGATAAAGTATGTTGTTGGCTGATAAATTATGAAGTTTAAACATGTTTACATGAAAACGATTTGAGTAATGAGATTTGTAGTGCTATCATTCCTTAAGTCACTCTTAATCATAAATAGAAATCACTTAGAAAATAGACTTAGAAATAACTTAATCATTAGAGAGGATAAGCAAACCAATGTGTATTTGTAGCAGGGGATTCTCCCCAGAAAACTGTGCATTATGTCATCAATTTTGCTATTGACAAATTTCTACATATTTCCACTTATGTGTAAAGAGCCGAGTACACGTAAGTCCAAACTTGTAGCTTATATTTATCTTATGTTTATTTTTAAAAAGCGTGCATTTTTCTAAAACCTGGAGACCTAATGCAAATATCGATATAAAGATCTAAACAGCTATAATTGAAAAATATAATTTTTTAGAGTTTTGAATACACAACATGTAGACTTTCAAAGCATACTTTGATGGTTTAAAATTATAAAGAGCTCTTTTCATTTTTTTCTAATAAATATATGTATATTTTTATTTAAAACAGTGATATAATGCACATTAAATTTAATGTGTTTTCTAATTTTTTTTAAATGTTAAGGCTTTGTACATTTAAAACACTTACAAGTACACTTACAGGTTATGCATTGCTAAACAAGAAAAAATAATGGAAACGTGTACGTGTAATTCTAGCTTGTAGTTTACTCATACAAGTACATGTATACGAGTTTGCTGAACCTCTCCATTATGAAATGATTTAGTATTAAAATTTGTGAACAAAATATGTACATGTATCAAATAATAATATTTTTTAAAAACTCTACGTATCTACATACGTCTCGTTCTACGAGTTTTTAGCTCACCTGAGCTGAAAGCTTAAGTGAGCTTTTCTGATCACCTGTTGTCCGTCGTCCGTCCGTCTGTCTCTCTGTCTGTCTGTAAACTTTCACATTTTCAACTTCCTCTCTGGTACAGAGCATCCTTGGGTGAAGGGGAGTTTAAATTGTTCAAATAAAGTGCCAACCACCCTTACAAGGGGAGATAATCAAGAAAAGACAAAAATAGGGTGGGGTCATTAAAAATCTTCTTCTCAAGAACCACAGGGCCAGAAAAGCTGAAACTTATGTGGAAGCATCCTTGGGTAGTGTACATGTAGATTCTAAATTGTTCAAATCATGGCCCGCGGGGGGTAAGACGGGGCCACAATAGGGAATCAAAGTTTTACAATGAAATATATAGGCAAAATCTTTGAAAATTTTCTTCTCAAGAACCACAGGGCCAGAAAAGCTGAAACTTATGTGGAAGCATCCTTGGGTATACGTAGTGTAGATTCTAAATTGTTCAAATCATGGCCCCCAGGGAAAGGGCAGGGCCACAATAAGTATTACAAGGGGGGGTCTGGTGAAGAACAGCAGGGCCAAAGTAACTCAGGTGAGCATTGTGGCCCATGGGCCTCTTCTCATTTATCTTCTCTAAAGGAAGGAGCTGCATAGTGTCACTCTTGCCCGATTCCTCGGCTAGTCTTTCTTTTTGGTTTTCCTCCTTCACTTACTTAGAAAAACCGTTTCAGTCATTTTCATACAGTAAGGACCAGAAAACATTTCCATGTGTAGAAAACATTTATGACTTATACGTTTCTGGAGGAGTGAATTCAGAACATTTGATCACTGTCTAGTGTATCGCCTGTGTCAATGCAGCCTGGGTTCCTACAAAACAACGCTTGTCGATAGAATTTTGGGACAACCCTCGTGTACTCAGGTCTTGTATAAAACAAGCTCAAACTCCTTCTGGAAGGTGAAGCTTGTTTTGAACATATTTTATTGAAAATATGTCAAAGGGATTGGACACAAGTTCTAAAAACTTAGATAGTCCTCTCCCATGAAGGTGAAGCATCATTGGCACCCAGATTAATGAGGCTCCACTGTATACTAAAATTTCAAATTTTGTATGAATATACAATATATAAAACACCTATTAAAAGTATATACATTTATACTGTATACATCTAATACATATATGTATGAGGGCTGTTTGGAAGTTATTTAGACATTCTGATTATTTTCCTTCCTAATCAACATATTTCTTGTGAAAATTGATATATACATGTACATTTAACAAACAGCAAAAATACGTAACACCAAGAAATTTCTCAGAAATATTTTTTTTTTCTGTGAATGACGTCTTTATGTGTCGATGGAAGGGATATCTTGACTTTATTTTGTGCAAGTTTGGTAGATTTTCGGTTAGAAATATGAATATCATAATGAATTTTCATCAAGATATAGAAATCTGATTATGATGGCAGAATGAATTTAGACGTCAAGGTGCAGGAGTGTAGAGCTTAAGTAGAACCGTTCAGAGAAAGGACCATCTAAAATAAACACAATGCAGAGGAAATGTCTAAAGACTTTAGTTTATCATTGATTCAAACATTTCTCTGACAAATCATTTAACCATATAGTGAAAGCAAAGGAGCTGGATGACCATCAGTTATAATTATGGATGAATTAACATCATCATGCAGTCATAAAGTTGGTACCAAATAAGACACACCCAACTGTAAGAGATGTTTCAAGGATAATTAAAATAGGGGTAGAAACAGCACACAAGTTTGTAAAAGGGGGTTTAGGAAAGGAAAAAAATTGAGCCAGTTTGGTTCTTGGAATGTTATCAAGTGTTGACAGAATTTAAAGAACAATTGAAGCTTCCGGATCATTTCACTGTGAGAAAAAATCTAACGCTGAAGTTACATGTATGTTAAAATGAGATGATAATCTCTGCAGAATGCTGTCAATGGATGTATGCAAGTTTAAAATTTCACCAGGACTTGTATATTGATGTAATCACAAGTATAAGTTCTTGATAAAATTCTGGAGAACTTTTATGAATTGATCTCTTTCTTCTCTGGAGTTAAAGTAAAAGTCTCAATAATTTCTGAACAGCCCTACTATGCACCCCCCCCCCCCCCCCTCCCCTGAAAACACTGCTTTAACAGGAATATTCAGCCCTGCAATCTTTAATAAGATGTTTTTAAGTATACAAACTGCATTCTTCAGAATCTTGAATAAAGTTATGCATATGTAAAATTTCTTATGCAGTGATTAAAGTTTTATGGTTTTATTAATACATTCTAATCCTATAGCTCACAGTAAAGCTTGGTTAACTTGCTCTGAAGTGCTTATTAATAATTGTTTTCACATTTTGAGCAACATGGTTGTTAGTGTTGCAAAATTGGACCAAAGTTACTATGGATTATTAAATTGAATTGGTACCACAAAATCAATTATACAGTAAAACTCATTTAGTAAGAACATGGATATAGTGAATTTACGAATATAACGAAGATATGTGAGATCCCCAGCAAAATTCTTTACAAATCCTTGTAAAATTTTACGGTTATAATGAACAAGCTAGGATATAACGAATTTACAGATTAGCGAATTGATTTTGTATCCTGCAGAAGTTAAAAATAATGGTATAAACATCTTTTATAACAAATTTTTAAGATCACATATTTAAAGTATTGAAGTGACATAATTTTTCATTAGTACTTATGTTTGAAATTAAATTGATCTAAAACGGGTCTATTCCCAAGTAACTACATGTATAAGACTTACCTACACCAAACTTGTGTGGATGATGTATCTAGGGATGGACACTTCCAAATTTGCTTTGGATGCTGGATCTGACATTACATTTTACAGATGAATTTTACAAGTGAAAGTTTTTGGAGCAGTTCCATTCCCAAATAGCTACAAGCCTCCCCTATAACCAACTTGGAGGGGTGTGCATCTAGGGATGGACACTATCTGATCTGCTTCCAATGCTAGGTCTGACTATCATTTTCAAAGTGAGTGACTATTAGCCCTTCCTGGACCAAACTTGCATGTATGATGAATCTAGGGATGAACACTACCAGGCTTGTTGCAGATGCAGGATCTGACCTACATTTGGTGGATGAATTAACAGTTTAAAGTTTTTGGAGCAAGTTAATTCTCAAGGAACTAAAAGCCTTACTTATGCCAATCTTGCAGAGATGATGCATCAAGGGATGTACACTACTTGACCTGGTTCAGATGCCTGATCTGACCTATATTTTCTAGATCATGACTATTAGCTGTACCTGGACCAAACTAGGGATGGACAGTAATAGGCTTACTACTGGTGCTGGATCTGACCTACATTTTCAGGATGAGCAAGAACAAGTTAAAGTACTTGGAGTAGGTCCATTCCCAAGTACAGTAATTTAAGCCCTACCTGAACCAAACTTACTTGATGATGCATCTAGGTATGCACACTACCAGACTTACTGCAGATGCCGGATGTGACTTATATTTTCCAGATGAGTGACCTGGATATAGTTTTGGGGGCAGGTCCATTCCTAAGAAAAGTCCTACTGAAACCAAACTTGCAAGGGTATTGACCTCTGGATGCACACTAACTAGAATAAATTTGATGAGAGATTTGTCTTACTCATAGATAAAATTTGTCGATATCTTTGATTACCTTGTTTGATTTTGACATATGGTGTTTCCATTGTTGCTAAAAAAAAAAGAAGTTTCTTTGAATTCTTTTAAAATGCTACTCCTCCTTCAGTTTTTGTCTGATTATACTTTCTAAGATACATCTTTCTTACTATAAGTACACACCGTAGAGCTACAGTTTCTTCAGAGACTTCTTGCTAAATTGTGGTAAATCTATGGGTTAGGGTTGGGTCGTATTCAGAGATCTAAATTTTACACATTGCATATGTACAGGAAAAAAATCTTCCCCAGAACAGCAGGGCCATGTCAATTGTTTTGATTTGCAGCATCCCAGTGTAAATCATACCTCCCTTAGGGCTAGATTTTGATTCACAGTGTGGAGTCAAAATTTTATTAATAAGAGAGGAATATTTAAAAAAAAAAAAGAAATCTGATGAAGAAAGCAGGAACAAAGTGACTCAAGTGAGCATTGGGGCCCATGGGCCTCTTGTTGAAAAAATGTTTTTTTTAATTAGTACATGTCATTTAATATTACCATCAGTATTTAGATTAAAATGCCTGGCTTTTATAATCCGTTGTTTTGATATAAGATAAGAAATCATGGTTATAAAAATATAATAGGATTCAGTAGGTCTATTATATAATCTATAATCATTAATGATGTATATTAACTTCTGAAGTTTCATGTATGCATACTAACAGTTTAATATTATATTATCATATGTTATACTTTTAATCTGAGGTGTAATGGTCATTTGGTTCTTCAAAATAAAATAAAAGGATATGTTTTTTTGGGGATATTGATTATTGATATTATAAAAGAGATATCTTTGGTTAAAGGTGTCAACTTAAAAGTCAAAAATAAAACAATGTCAAACTCTGATGGTAACTTTTGTTGTTATACTGAAAATACATTTCATTTACAGTTGCAATGTATGATATATAAACAAAGCTGCCATACCTTATTTCCTAATATAATCTGATCAATTTTAACAGGTAAATCAGCCAGACAAGACCGCCCCGTCAGTAAAGTTGTCCTCATATATTTCCTGGGAGGTTGTACTTATTCAGAAATAACTGCCCTCAGATTTCTAGGTAAACTTAAAGGTAAGAAGGATTGTGTAAATCTTAATAGCATGTTATTAATTTGTTATGAAATGAAAGAAGTTTTTTTTAAGGTTATTGTAAGCTGGAATTTTGATCATCATAATTAATTTAAAAAAAAACAGGAGGGAAACAAATTTATGAAGGAATTGATGATTATATTATTGTTGTATCTACTTGTAATAGTTGCCTATGTATACTTTACCTGTGTTAAATACTGTATCCAGTTTTATTTTGCTACTGATCTAATTGCTTTTGCCATAGAAAAAAATAAAAATTATTAGCATTGTACAGTAGTGATAAGAATTGCCTTATACATGTATATACTTTAATATAATTAAGGTCTAATGACCCTCTGTTCTAAATTTCAGGCAAAAAATTAAACATTTGCATCATTGATTTTTATCAACAACAAAAGCCCAGGGCAAGAAATAATTATTTTTTTTCACTGGCCACTCGGGCTATTACCTTTAATTTTTACTGGTCAACTTGGTACTTTCACTGTCCCATTGGGCCAGTAGATTTTTAAAAGACTGGCCCAAAACCATAATAATGATAGTAATATTTTGTTTATATTATGATACTTTATATTACAAATTAACAAAACGATAAATGAGAGAACTTGGACACACAACCCTGTCAAGTTAACTAGCCCAACTGTGAATGAATTTTATTTGGCTTAAAAAACACTGACCCAAAGGGCAGATGCACTCTACAATGTACTAGCCAAGATTTTAAATTTACTGGCCCCATATCAGCGGGCCATCAATTATTTCGAGCCCTGAAAGCAATCATTTCAAATGGAATAAAGTTTGAAGCATGAAGCTTGGCTTACTTTTTTGTGTCTAACCTTGATACGAAGAAAATTTGACACATTGAATAAAAAGGGCAATGATTTATTATCACAGTATAGAATTAAAAATATGAAGTATATATAAAAGTAATATTTAGTGTCATATATGTAATTTATATTATATTCATATTAGAAAACAAAACGGATCAATGCTTTCTGAGCAGGAATACTGTTAACATGGAAATGTTTTTGTTTTTTTTTTTGGGGGGGGGGGGGGGGGGGATTTCCAGTATTACGAATTTTGTTCAAAAGAAAGTTTTGCAAAATTTATCACCACACAAACGGTTTCAAATAAGGTGCTATACTAAACAGTAAACAAACAAATTTTGTTAATTTTTTAATTTCTGCAAAATTAACCCCTGCATGAACACAGTAATTGTTACATTGAAATTGCAAAATTTTACCCTGTAAAAATATTTAGGCTTACAGTATCACCTTGTTATGAATGGTTGTAAAAAAAAATAATAATAAATGTGTTTATCAATGTTATCTCTTTTCAATTTTTCTTTTTGTAAGAAAAATTTTTAAATATATAATAATGATGAAAATACCAAATGTGGTACATGGGAAATTATGCAACTTTTCAAATTTATATGAAAAGATATAAATATTCTAAAACATAACAGGTTAAAAAAAACTGGGTGCAAATGTTTTAAGACATTGCAAAAAGTATTAATAATTATCAAAAATATTGGCAAAAGGACATACAAATAAATATTTTAACATTGTTATATTCTTTCTGCCAACAGGTGTAACTACAAAGAAATATTGTAACTGAGCAAAAACATGGCTACATTAGTATCACTTAATGTAATGAAATGTTGGATAGTTTGGAAGTTATCTCTCCTATTAGATGGTCATTAGACCTTAAAATTTTAGAGATGTTTAAACATTTTGAAATGATGTAAAAATAATAAATGTTCTTGTTTCAGGTTACATATTCATCATAGCTACCACTGCAATCATCAACAGCTCCACCATGTTGGAATCAGTGATGGAGAGACCTCCTATCTAGTTGACCTGTCTGTATTATAAGTTGTGTCTATTTATGCTATTTATAAAATTATTATGAAATTCTTAAATCTACTCATAAGATATTATGAAAGAAAGGAATCAAAATCATAAAATGCAAGTTCAAATTCCAGCTGCCAAAAATAAAGCTTGCAGTTTATCTTTGGCTGGTTGTCTCCTCAAACATGTATCAGAAGGAACTCCAAGTCCCAAGCAGCAGTAGCACTTTCAGTCCAATTAGATGCATGTGGCCTGGAAAATGAATATTTGGTAGATTGATTCAACATGGAAGATTTACTGCTGAAGTGGGATTAGAAGAAAATTAAGTATACCAGTAAGTGATGTGGACAAAATGTTTTGCTATTGTTAAATTGTGGTAGAAAATGACTCTTTCAAACTGTGTCCTCAGCATTCCAAGATATTTATTATTTATTCTAAAACAAAATGTTCATCATATATACATTTAGTATATGAGATTGTGCCAAGAATTAATTTTATGCAGAAAATCCTGCTTGGAAAAATTATGATGGAAGAAATAGCATTTGGATTATAGTGTGAACAAATAAATCAATAATTAAACATACTTGCTATAAATTTTTCCACAAGACATAAAGTCTGATGACAAAACAGAAGTGGCATTTATAATTTGTTTGTTGTATGACCTATGAGGAACTGGTTTTAAATAATTTCAAGAAAAATACAAATTTTCAAATCCTAAATTGAATTTTTAATGTAAAGAGGGGACCACCATGTTTTTGTTGACTGAAAAATCAAATACTTTTACCTTTTTATCCAAGAAATACTTTTAATAAGATGGAGTGAAGCCCCACTAATATGGACAAATTGTGAATGTATGTAGAAATGGTCAATTTTCCTCAATTTGTTTTTGTACATTATTTTGTTGATGAAAACTTTCATTACATATGACTTGTAGTCCATTGAAAAGATTTTATATGCAGTATATATTGATGTTAATTGATTTATGGGAAAAAATTATTTAATAAATTTGTTATGAATGAGTTTTAATTTTGTTCAACCTTTGTAGTTCAACATCGTAGTTTATTTCTTCATGAATCTTCAAAAATTAAATTCATTTCTTAAATATACCAAATATGTTTCAGTAATCCAGACGCTTCATTAATGTGGACAGTTTGCTTGGGACATAAATATCCAGAGTAACAAGGCTCAACTGTTTTTTTTTCATTTATGAAAACATTAGGGCCATAGTGACTCTGGTGAGCATTGTGGCCTATGGGCCTCCCTAAAAAAACCTGCCTGCTCTTTATGGCACAATGAAAAAAATCAGCATTTTAAAAACATTTAAACACACAAAATGTGCATATAAACTCATGCACAAACTATAATCAGTTTTACAAAAGAAAAGACTATTGATTGAACATTCGATCTACTCAGAATCAACCAAACTAATTATTTTACTTTTTTCTTATTTTGCTTGTCAAGAAATTTCTGGGCTGAGAAATTTTTTGACCCCCCCCCCCCCCCCGGAAAAAAATCTTGGACCCGCACCTGAAAGATACATACATTAAAAGATTAGATTCTAAAAATGAAAATTAAATCTCAATTATAACTGTTTTTCTCTATCTATCAAGAAATATTTGAAGTCTATTTATTACCACAGTTGGAATCGTGGGATAATTTGCATAAAGTGCGAAGCATAAATTATCCAATTTTTAGCTCTACTGGTCAGAGACCAGAAGAGCTTATGCGATAGTAAGGTGTCCGTCGTCCGTCTGTCTGTCTGTCTGTCTGTCCGTCTGTAAACAATTTTTCAAAATGCTACTCCTCCTACAGTTTTGGTCTGATTTCAATATAACTTGGCACACAAGTAGACTACACTAAGATACATAATTCTGTGTATCGGTTTTTGATTTCGATGAACGGTGTTGCCATGGTTACTAAAAATAGAAATTTCTGTGAAATACTTTCAAAATGCTACTCCTCCTACAGTTTTGATCTGATTTCAGTATAACTTGGCACACAAGTAGACTATACTAAGATGCATAATTCTGTATATTAGTTTTTGATTTCGATGAACAGTGTTGCCATGGTTACTAAAAATAGAAATTTCTGTGAAATACTTTCAAAATGCTACTCCTCCTACAGTTTTAATCTGATTTCAATATAACTTGGCACACAAGTAGACTATACTAAGATGCATAACTCTGTGTATTAGTTTTTGATTTCAATAAACGGTGTTGCCATGGTTACTAAAAGTAGAAATTTCTGTGAAATACTTTCAAAATGCTACTCCTCCTACAGTTTTTATCTGATTTCAATATTACTTGGCACACAAGTAGACTATAATAAGAAACATAATTCTGTGTATCGGATTTTGATTTCAATGACCGGTGTTGCCATGGTTACTAAAAATAGAAATTTCTGTGAAATACTTTCAAAATGCTACTCCTCTTACAGTTTTGGTCTGATTTCAGTTTAACTTGGCAAACAAGTAGACTACACTAAGATACATAATTCTTTATATTGACTTTCTGATTTCGATGAACATTGTTGCCATGGTTACTAAAAATAGAAATTTCCTTGAAATACCTTCAAAATGCTACCCCCACAGTTTTGGTCTGATTTTAGTATTACTTAGCACACAAGTAAACTACACTAAGATACATAATTCTCTGTACCAGTTTCGGATTTCGATGAACAGTATTGCCATGGTTACTAAAAATAGAAATTTTCTTTAAAAACTTTCAAAACACTACTCCTCCTACACTTTTTGTCTGATTTCAGTATAATGTGGCATACAAGTAGACTACAGAGATACATAATTGGTGTTATTGTTTTTTGATTTTGTTGAATGATGTTGCCATGGTTACTTAAATGAAAATTTTTGTAAAATTGTTTTAAAAGGCTACTCCTCCTACAGTTTTATGCCACAAAAGAGACTAAATCAAGGATTATTATTCTATTGATTGCTGTTGCAAAGTTTCAAGTCCAAGTGCTACTTTTATCTTCCTTTATAAATACAACTAGTAGAGCTACAGTCTCGTCAGAGACTTCTGGTTCCAATTGTCGTTTATGTCCTTGGCATATCCAACAAAATAGACGGTGATTCCTTATATTTACATTTTATGTGAAATAAAAATGTAAATATAAATTTAAAAATTCCGTCTAATAGATATGAAAATTCAAATACATGAGGCATTCTATTTCAGTAGTCCCGCTGCACTTGGCGAACATTTTTAGTTGTAATTATTGAGAAATCAACGCTCCTAATTTTCAAGGAGTTATCACGGAGAAAATAGTTAGAAATGTAAATTATAATTGAAGGGTCATATAACAAACACGATTTAAATATATCTTAATTGCTATGATTATGGTGTGGTTAGCGTGTCAGTCTCAAGACATCAAACTGATAATCAAGATTTTTTTCGCTCGAGCTCAAATCGGAAGAAATCCTTTAAGTAATAATGTTAATTTTTTACCATAGAATAATTTTTGCCAAAAGAGTTTTTGTACAGAAAAGTTTTCATACCTTTCAATAATTATATCCGCACTTTCTAAAGAAAATTTGGGTATATTGTTATTACTCTGGATCATCCGTCCGTCAGTCTGTTGCACTTTCTTCTTCCTCAAACACCTCTTTTAATAAGTCACCTGAGTCACTCAGGAGACCTGTTGCTATCTTTTTTTTTACCGTCGTCCGTCGCAATCGTGCATCTTGTGTTAACATTTGAACATTTTCAGTTTCTTCTCTGGAACATTTGAACCAATTTCAACCATTTTTATATGATATTTACGGGTGAAGGGGAATAAAATTTATGAATTTCATATCCCCCGGTGTCTGAGGGGTCAGGCTAAAATCATCAAAACTAATGCAATCTTTAACTATCTTCTTCTTTACTCCCGCGTGGCACAGTGGTTAAAGCGTCTACTCTAGAGTCGCGAATTTTAAAGGAGTTGATCCTTACGTCGCGGGTTCGAATCCCACTGTGGGACGTGCAGACCGGTCCTTCGGATGAGACCGTATAAACCGAGGTCCCGTGTCGCAGTAGGTGCTGGCACGAAAAAGACCCCTCACTGCTCAATGGCCGTAAGTGCCGAGTATAGGACAAAATTTGCAGGATATTGTAGGATTCGTGACTAGTTACATTAAATGAAACATCGGGGATTAATTTTTGGAAGATCGTCCTCCTAACAATCACAAAAGATTTGCTCTGGAGTTGGGCCATTTGAAAACGACGGACTTGAAAAATATATTCTCATTGGTTAGTTTATAATTATCCATTACGTCATGTGTAACCACCAACCCAACTTTTAAATAGCAACTTATGTCAAGGGTTTGTGTGAAGTTTTGAGTTCACAAAACCTTGACATTGTGAGGATGCAGGGGCCGAATGGGGATCGAAAAACGATGTTTTTCCTTAACACCTCTTACAATTTATGCAGTAGCTAAATCATCTTTTGGACGATGATTGGTTGTGTCCTGTAGATGTGCAATAAGGTTTCGGAATTTCAGAGACATATAAAAACCATATATGTCTCTGAAATTCCGAAACCTTATTGTCGTTTATCGACCCTCATTTGACCTCAGCGGTGAAAATGAAAATTCCCAGAGACATATAAAATTTTTATATGTCTCTGGGAATTTTCATTTTCACCGCTGGGGTCAAATGAGGGTCGATAAACGACAATTTTTCTACAAAAAAATCCTGCTTCCCAGAACTCTTACAACTTACGCAATAGTAGTTTCGGAATTTTCATTTTAACCTTGTGGACTAAATGGAGGTCGAAAACGGATTTTTAAAGAAATACAACCCTGATTCCCAAAACTCCTCTTACAATTTACGCAGTAGCCACATCGATTGGTGGTGTCCTATAGATGTGCAATACGGTTTCGGAATTTTCATTTTCGTCCTAGGGGACAAATGGAGGTCGAAAACGACGTTTTGTTATTTTAAAAAACTTCTCTAGCATTTTAAGCAATAGCAAAATCATCTTTTAAAAGATGATTGCTTATTAAATTCTGTAATTTCAGACTGGTAATGAATTTATTAAATAATTTTTTTAAATAAGAGGCTCATGGGCCACTGACTCACCTGAGCATCTTATATATATCATAGATACATATATTCTGTAAACTATGGAATTATGTTGCTTCTTCCCTGGTTACCGAAAATGAAGGAGAGCATAATTAAAGGCAAACACCCATGTGAGGGCATAACTGTCCTCTGACATTATTTAGTTAGAACTTTGCTATAATGAATATTTAGTTCACAAATTTAAATTTGATGCTGATACATTTAAAGCTATAGGCATTTCACATGCCTTGTTCGTCCGTCTTCTTTTAATAAAAGTGTAATGCTCACATAAAGCTAATGCTATGTGAAGAAAACCCCAATTGATCATTCAGTCCAGGAATCACAGGCACTTCTTTCGTGTACGGGGCACCCCTACTTATTTTTACCACAAGGTACCTAACTCAATTTCAGGCACCCCCGCTTCAAGCTCGTATTTTGTTCATTTATCAATCATTAACCTATTTTAAAATTATATCGTTCGCTTCGAGAGACTTTTTTCTTGTCAAATAAATCCTTTCGGATGTCTCTGGTCGAGCCTCTTTTTTTGTATACCACTCACGTATTACGTTCAGACGACCAAACGCGCCTCTAATTTTGAAGAGTTCACTAATGGAAATATAACATAATTACGTTCTATTTCCACTATGGAAGAGTTATACTTCTTAGTTAGCCTGGTTCCCGAGGCCTTCCGATGTGCGCTATGACGTCACAGCCTACTCCACTGCGTTACGATATCCGGTGAAGCATGAAGCGGTTCGAGGACTTATGTACTAAGGCTAACTTCTTAGTGCGCTCTTTTGTGAAAAAGTCGGAAAATGTACAAATCTCGCGGGATTTCTGGGACAAACGTAACATAAACATGTAAACAATATGTTGAATGTCGATGAACAGTTCCTAAGAAAATGCAAATGAAATATTTTAATGTTGTGGACTTTATATACATCAAGA